CTTTCCTCTATTGTGTCATGGAAGGTTGACCTTATTCACACGGAATGTATGCTATCTTTTACAGGACCTTTTGAAGAAAATGAAGATTTTATGTATTTTCCATTTAAAATATACAAACAAATTCTAGAAGTAACCTTTCGTTGGTTTTAATTGTATTACATCTGTTGTTATAACAGAGAAGCCATGCTTTCTACTTTCTGTATTGGATGGATGGGAAATAAGCTCAATCAAATTTGAGGTCAAAAGCAAGTCTACAATTTAAAAAGATTTAATTTAAGCATACATTGGTACATTTGGTTCAGAAATAATCTCAATCGAGTTTGAGGTCAAAAGCAAGTCTACAATTTAAAAAGATTAAATTTAAGCATACAGTGGTACATATATTTAGGTATTTCCATTATTCCGTGTTTTACCCTGTGCGAGATTATGTATTTTTCTCTAAATTTCTGAGATTGAAAACTGTTTGTTATATTCACTTTTTTCATCATATTATGTGATTAATTTGTTGTTGTTTTTTTAAATTAACAAAATGGCTTCGAAAGTGCGATGCATCATGATTATAACATCACGCAAATTTAACCCTAAATCATACAAAAAACTATTTTTTGTAAATAGATTACATCCTTTCTCGTAAAACAAATAGGAAAGTATTATATATATATATATATATATATATATATATATATATATATATATATATATATATATATATATATATATATATATATATATATATATATATATATATATATATATATAATTCATTTCCTATTGATAAATGAATCCTCTATCGTGTTTTAATTGCCTCAATAATTTGTATTTTTGTTTTCTTGATGTTTTTCATCTAAAGTGATGCTAAGGTACGTAATCCACACGCGTTAATAGACAGGAATTCTTTTTTCGTGTTTATAATTTTGTCCCATTCGACCGAAAAGGATGTATTCAGAATTTCAAAAGAATTGGCCCATAGGAGAGAACGGAAAAAGTCACATTTGAATATCAAATTTCATTAGCTATATTCTATCGTATTTGTCTTTTTTTTCAAATCTGCATTTTGAAAATAAAATTTATTATTTGCACTTTAGAATTAACATTAAAAGTTTGCTAAAACAGCATTTTGTCCGTTAAAGCACCGATTTTTCCATGAATTTAACTTGGCCTAGAAATCGATCAGGGCAGGCCTAGGCCTGTTCCTAAATAAAATTAGGATATTTTGACGGGCTGTGATCTAAGGAATCTTTTAAGATAGGATTTTAGGGGCATCCCTGCCCTAGGGTTGAAATTCACGAATAAAAACTACAAAAATAGGATAAAACCTGTTTTTGACAATCTGGTTCACTGTGCCGTCTTGTAAGCAGGAATTTTTTCTTCCGGTACGCTTTGGTTTTTCTTTTTTGTTTACACTTGTTATTTCCGTGCATGCAGCACGATATTTCTCGTCACTCGTCGCCTTACTCAGTACATGAACAGTCATACTGTTGTTACAGTTTTTTACTCTGCCCACAATGTAAGTATTTCATATATTTATCATCTTACAGTTACTTGTATTATGCTTATGAATTTTCGGCAATGAATTGATTATTTTCTTCTACGTATGTGAAATTTGACTGTTAATTTTTACCGGGAATTCAGAGTAGCTAAATTTGTCATATTTATTATCCATGTTTGCTGATATTTGCGAAATGTTTCTATTTATATAATGCTAATTTACATATTTATCTCAGTAATATGTTCTATTTATTGTGAATATAGGTATTTTTCAGATTTTTCATAAATTTCTTAAATTTGAGCATTGTACTTCACATTTATTATTATTTTGTCTATTGTAGCTTTTCACCGTACATATTATGTATCACCACATTATTGAACTATGGAGTTTCAATAAAGATAAAAAACGGTTTAACTAGCTGTAATTTATGGAGGCAGCATATTCACATTTATACTATCTATTTTAATAGCCAAAAAAGCTCCAATGGTACAACAGCTGATTATTAACAGAGCGGGTACTTTTCAGAGTCATGGCTCGAATCCACACGTTTTGCCTTTTCAAAGACTATTTTAATTTTTCTTTTTGGGGCTTGTGTATTTTCCTTCAATTATGTATCTTTTATGCACATTCGTTCTTGATATAAAATGTTAATATATATTTTTATATTGTGTTAATACACTAAGAGAGAGATAATTCTTGGTGGGGAACTCTTCTGTGTGTAGAGATTGTTTTTGTGAGGTGGTTGTTTATGTGACTGAGGTCAAGTGATGATAATAAAGTGCTTTGTGGATTCAATCAGTGTTACTCCAAAAATAGAGATTAACAAGTGGTAGCAGAGCGTAAAATCAACCCCATTGTCGAGTGAAAGGCAGTGAACTGTGTCAGAAGAAGTATAAACAGGGTGAGTCTGGGAATTGAAAAAAAAAAGGAGGGAAACAGTGAATCCAATATGGCGACCAAGATCAATCCACCAGTGTTCAAATCCAAATCTAAGCCTTATGAACTATACAGACATGAGTTATTGGCTTGGAGTGAAATAACAGAACTTGCAAAAGAGAAGAAAGGCATTGCTGTTGCACTTACACTTCCAGAGGAGGATGACAGTAAGATTCGTGAGAAAGTTTTTGAGAAAAGCAAACATCACAAAAGAGCAAAAAATGTTAGTTTTGACTAGAATGAATTATGAAAATAAGGCCACATTATATGAAGAAGCAAAGAAGTCGTTAAAAAAGTTCATGGGTGAAGGAGGACATACACAGTGTGACAACAAGAGTATAAAACTAGAACCAGCATTTTTAGCAGAAAATGAAGACGTATTATTGGCTGCGGGCTATGTACGAAGAGATGGCAATTATGGATATCGGCGAGGTAGGCGCTTTAACTACAGTAGGGGTGGTGGCAGAGGTTCAGGATTTTTCTCATCAGAGCGTGGGACTAAAAATCTCAACCCACAAGGTGCAGATGGAAAAAATTATGACATGCAGATCTTGTGGATCATTCAGGCATCTCGTGGCAAAATGTCCAGACAGTTGGGAAAACATATCTAAAGTACACATAACAGAGGAAGAGTCGTTAACAGAGCATGCAGTTTTGTTTACGGGATACCATAAAAATGAAATCAGCCAACTTGGGACAGAAGCACGAAACTGTGCAGTACTTGATAGTGCATGCAGCAGCACCGTATGTGGAAAAACATGGCTACAAAGTTACCTTAGCTCACTGAAGGAAAGTGATCGTGGGAAAGTCTTGAGACGCGAGGGGCATAAAGTCTTCGAATTTGGTGGTGGAATAAGATTGAAATCTGAAGGAGAATATGAATTACCAGTCAGTATGGTTGGTAAACCTGTAACAGTCAAAACAGATGTGGTTGATTCTGACATCCCTTTACTACTTTCCAGAACCGCAATGAAAAAAGCAGGGGTAAAACTGGATTTGGAGAAGGATACTGCTGTCATTATGGGACAAGATGTGGCACTTCATTTAACTACATCTGGCCATTATTGTATACCAATTGACAAATCAGAGACTGTACCTATAGAAGAGGTGAACTCAGTTCAGCTTGAAGAATTGGAGCTTGAAAAACTCAAGTCTGCTCTTTTGAAACTTCATCGGCAGTTTGCACACCCCCCGAAAAAGAGACTTGTGGCTTTGTTACAAGATGCAGGAGTATGGAAGGAAGAGTTTGAGGAACACCTGTTGGAAATAGAACAAAAATGTGACCTTTGTAAAGCATACGCAAAGACGCCACCAAGACCGGTAGTAGCAATGCCAATGGCAAACGAATTCAATGAGAAAGTTGCGATGGACCTCAAACAGTATGAGGGTCGCTGGATATTACACATGATAGACATGTGGTCTAGATATATAGTCTCTGTCTTCATACAGCGAAAGAAGCCAAAAGATGTAATTGATGCTATGATGAAAAACTGGGTTGGAGTTTTTGGAGTAATGGGAGCCTTGATGACAGACAATGGTGGAGAATTTAGTTCAGATGAAATGCGAGAAATAGCATCTATTCTCAACATTCGTTTATGCACAACAGCAGGAATGAGCCCTTTTCAAAATGGACTTTGTGAACGTGTTCATGCTGTAACAGATATGATGCTGCTCAAACTTGAAGCTGAAAACAAAGCTGTTAATATTGAAACATTTCTTGCATGGGCAAATATGGCAAGAAACTCATTACAGATGTGGAAGGGCTTTAGCAGCCATCAGTTAATATTTGGACAGAATCCAAATTTGCCAAACATCATGAAAGCAGATTTGCCTGCCCTGGAAGGAAGTACAAGTTCTAAGACACTGGCTAGGCATTTGAACACCCTGCATGAAGCAAGACGTGCCTTTATTCAAAGTGAAGCAGATGAAAGAGTACGAAGAGCACTGCGTTCCAAAGTTAGAGCAGCAGAAGTAACATACGACAATGGTGATTTGTTTTACAAAAGAGAGGGTCGAGAGTGCTGGTTAGGACCTGGAAAGGTGGTATTTCAAGACGGAAAAGTTGTGTTTGTGAGGCATGGGGGTGTCTTTGTGAGAGTATCCCCTAACAAACTGTGCAAAATTACACAAGATCAGACAGAAATAAATCTGAGTGAAGACAGTGAAGACAGTTTAAAGAAATCGTGTGAAAATAAAAACACTGAGGATGTTGCTATGAGAACAAAGACTGTCTTTCCAAGTACTGTTTCAGAAACACTTAGTCAGGCACCAGAGCAACTTAACCAGGAAGTAGCTATAGATCCACGACCTGACCAGAGACAGCGACCAAAGAAACATGACAGGATCAAGTACAAGTTACCAAACTCAGAGGAATGGACTGAGGCAACAGTACTGGGAAGAGCCGGGAAAGCGACAGGAAGGTACCCTTCTTGGTGTAATGTTAGAAACAGTGTTGAAAATGAAGCTAAAAGTCTTGATCTAGATATTGTGGAGTGGAAAACTGTCAACCCAGAAAGAAGAAGCAAACTTAGCCCACTTCGACACATACAGTGAAGCGTCTCATGGTACCAGTGATATGTTTATTGAAAATGCCAAACAAACAGAACTAGACAAACTGCGTCATTTCAACACATATGATGAAGTAGAGGACCATGGACAGAATACAACATCAACCAGATGGGTAATAACTGGCAAAGACAGTAATACAAGAGCTAGGTTAGTTGCACGAGGGTTTGAGGAACATTCTTTAATTCCTTCAGATAGTCCAACAATAGGTAAAGGGGATATCAGGACATTTCTCACTGTGGCAGCTAGCAAAAGATGGATAGTAAAAACAACAGACATGAAGTTTGCATTTCTGCAAGGGAATACAATACAAAGGGAAGTGTTCATTAAACCTCCCTATGAAAGTAACACACCAGTTGGTTTTATATGGAAGCTAAAGCATGGAATATACGGCTTAAAAGATGGTGCTCGTCAGTTTTACATGAGTGTGCGAGATGAGCTGCTTAAACTAGGATGCAGTCAATCAAAAATGGACCCTGCTATGTTCACTTAAAAAAATGGAAAAATTCTGATAGGGATGGTATGCTGTCGTGTTGATGGTTTTCTACATGCCGGAGAAAGGAAATTTGAGGATTTGTTGTGTAAACTAAAACAGAGATTTCTAGCTGGTAAAGTTGAGGAACAAGATTTTCATTACATTGGATTCCACATAAAACAGAATGAAAATGGTATTATTGTAGATCACTCAAAGTTTATGGAGAAATTGGATCACCCCCACCTTGATCCTAAAAGAGCAATGCAGAAACATGAACAACTTACTATGGAAGAACAAACTTCATATCGTAAATTAATCGGACAACTCAATTGGGCAGTGCAAGGTTCACGACCAGATTTAGCATTTGAATTAGTTGATCTAAGTACAAAATTGAAAACTGCAACAGTGGCAGACATACTAAGAGCTATAAAAGCTATTGGGAAACTGAAAGACATAATACCAATCCAGATTTTCCCTTCTCTACATGGGTCAGCTGAAAAAGACTGGGAGATTTTGTTTTCTCGGATGCAGCGCTGGCAAATATAAACGAGGGGAAAGGAAGTACTGGAGGTCAAATTTTGTGGTTCAAAGACCGCGTTGGAAACTGTTGTCCTATTCATTGGAAGGCCAACAAAATAGAGTTGTTCGTTCAACAATTGCGGCAGAAGCTTTAAGTTTGCAAGAGGGCCTTGAGTCTGCATTGTATTACTGGAAAATGCTAGAGGAGATCTGTACATTGGAAGCAGATAAAATACCAATTACAGCATTCATTGACAACAAAAGTGTTTTCGAGGCATTACAGTCTACAAGGATGGTGGATGACAAGCGCCTTCGAATTGACATAGCAGCAATTAGTGAAATAAAGAATAACAGTAATGTACATGTGAAATGGTGTCCAGAAAAAGTGCAGCTAGCCAATTGTATAATGACCAAGCGTGGAGCAAATGGAATGGAGCTGCTTAAAATTCTACAGACGGGGAAGTTACCAGAAGAATTCGTGTGAATTTTTGTGATAGACATTGTATGTTCAAATGCATCTCTATATGTAAATGGGCAGAATAATCCCCTGATGTCCTGAGGATAGTCTAATCCAATGAAAGTCATCACTGTCAAAGTAATTACATGTAAATATGAACAAAACATATTCATTGATAGGTAAAATTTCTTTATTAACTTCTTTATCAAATTTTGTTCAAAAAAAAAAAGAAAAAAAAAAGGAAATTGTAATTAATGTTAATATTAGGGAAGGCAATTTGCAATCGGTTAACCGGTTACTCGGTCGGAACGATGGTAATCGGTTAGAAAATCTGTAATCGGTTAGTCGGAAAAAAATTGAAATAGGTGAAAATTTCTTTAAAACACGATTTACAATGTTTAAAAAACCTTGAATATTGATAAGTTATAACGTTTCCACATTTAATTCGGCTGATTTGGAGGTAAATAATTTAACTAAGACTCTCAAGATTGAATTTGTTGGGGGTAATTGGTCACTTTGCGAAGTGTTAATTGCTGTTTAAATACCATGTCGTTACCCGGCCTGTCTTAATTATGATATCAATTAAATCTTTGTTGAGTTCTGTTAAATGATTTATATGATTGCAATGTGTATCATACCCCCGTCTATCCTTCGCAGTTATCTATCAAATTATATTTTCAAACGAACATTGTAAATTATTTCAGACTGACGGTTTCTGTTTAAGGTGACAATGCACAATGACCTTGTGTTGTAACAATATCAATTTCTGCGATATTTAAGAGATGTTTCATGGTTTCCTTATTTTTTTCTTGCCGTTCGAAATTGAAATAAAATATAATATATAGCGTACTAATCAAGCATTAACGCCTTTTTCAGTTTTCTTGTGTATATAACTAGAGTTTACTCGAAAAATAAAATATAAGGAAAATGTGTATTTTGATACGATTAACCGATTAATCGGTCGGAACGTCTTTCGGTTAACCGATTAGCAATTTTGTATTCGATTGCCATCCCTAGTTAATATATATTTTTATATTGTGTTAATACACTAAGAGAGATAACTCTTGGTGGGGAACTCTTCTGTGTGTAGAGATTGTTTTTGTGAGGTGGTTGTTTATGTGACTGAGGTCAAGTGATGATAATAAAGTGCTTTGTGGATTCAGTCAGTGTTACTCCAAAAATAGAGATTAACATAAAATACACTAAATAAAAAGCAAATTGTAAATTCCATGCGGAACTATACCTCAGTATAGCACACTTTCTTCGAGGGCAAGAAGTATCCCCTCTGTGTTACTCGATATAGGCACTCATGTCTGCAATGAGATGCTATGTATTTCTACTGTCTATTAATTCCTTTGAATTTAATCAATTCAGTGTTTAACATTGCTTTTATTCCGGCTGTACTTGTACTTGTCTGGGTTATTGCGCTGTGAAATATACGTATTGCTTGTATAATTTGAACTTAATATAATACAATAAGAAAACTTACATGCACTTTTATAGACGTTCAAAATTCAGATTTAAAGGTTTTGAAACAGTAAGTCTATATATCAGTAACTGTACTCCTTTGGATTTCATTTATATAATTTGTACATATTGATGGTACATGTAACGTTTTTATTATATCCACGGAAATGTGTTGTAAAAGAAACACACATCAAGAAAAGAATTAAGACTATGGCCTTTGTAATGTGGAATTTTGAACCGAGTTGGAAAATGCTCCGTGGGTCTTTTTTCAACGTTGAATATTGAGACCAGCAGCATTTAATTCAGACCTTATCCTGTTGAAAATTGAAGCGGGTCGCTGAATTTTGATCATAAAACCGGGTCAAAATTCAGCAGCATAAAAACACATATAAAATAAAAAGACATATACAATTTTGATTCATTCATTCAAAAATTACATACGTATATATATTTCACCATGTCCCTAGGAACCAGATGAGGGAAAAGGGGAGGGAGCACGAGGTGACTATTTCCCTCAATGCATGCTATCATATACTATACAGTAGGAAACAAAGCTAAAGAACGTCACTCTGTGGATCTTTTTTGACTTTCCGCTTGTAAACGAACATTTGTTTAATTGCTCCTAACCCCCCCCCCCTCCTAAAAAAAGCTGTTCACTGAATATGTTTTTATTTTTTAGATTAGCATGAATACTGATATATGTTCAATGCAAAATGGTCAATTTATACTAAAACTTATAGCACTCTAGAATGGAAGGTTTCAAATTTTCTAAAGACCCAGCGCAAAAATACACATTATTTATTTCATTTCTAAACTGTACAAATAAGGCTTTAAAATGCAATCAATATTGTAATATTTTTCTCATCTATAGTGAACGTTTCGCATATTATCGTCGCAAGTAATTATCGCTACAAGCAATACCAGTATTTTTATACACGGATGAAGGGACAGTCTACAAAAATTAACAAAAACGGGAAATATCATCAGATTCGTACACTCTGTGAATACTATATCCAGCTTGAAAATTGAGAGTTATTTTAATTGTACACAACAGCGTTAGCTCTTGTATATTATTAAGACTCTTAATACTTAATTCAACCCACAGTTTAAAAGACATGACACCTAATTTTTTTGTATCGTTATTCAATAATTTCAATCCTTTCTCATTTATTTTTGAATTTTATTCATTATAAAAAATTTTGATGTCCTACGACTGCCAAAACATATGAAATAAAAAAGTAAATGACAATGGCATATGGTCTAATTAAAATACTATAGATCTGAAATTTGGAAATCTTTCTCTATGAAATGGAATAAGTGAAAAAGAAGAAGTAGCCCTTTCCACTATAGTTAAAGCTGAAGTAAGGGTTTGGTCAACCTACTGAATTTTCTTGTCTTATACCGGTATACCTAATTTTCAACTAAAATGAAAATGTAACAAACAGTAAATGATCTTAAAATTCTCAAAAATAATATAAATTTGTGAACAGGACATAAAACACAGACCCCTGGAAACTACAGAGATTGAATCAGAGAAGTAAGCATTCCCTGTCGATCGTTCACACACGCCATGAGCTCTATGTATTGATCAGATAGTCGGTGTAATTTAATATTAAACAATGGGTATGAAAAAATGTAAGCAATAATATGACCCAACGATCGATACATGTAATTGTATTTTACACTATGACATTATAAAGTCCTTATAAAATTTTCGGAATGCTGACTTTAAATGAGATCGTTGAAATCCCTGTAACATCTACATCTATAAAAAAAACCATTGTGATTCAACACAAGTACATATACTCTGAAGCTAATATTAAAAATATGTCTAAGTTCCTCATTGACAACCATCATTCTGTTGAAATCCCTATAGGTCTAATTGTGCCACTCTATTAGCAGACTTGTTTTTGTATACTCATGAATCGGAATTAATTTAAAAACTTTTGCTGAGGCCTTCAGTTCGATATTAAGAGATCAATGAAGTTTTATAAATGAACAACACTGATTCCATTTATATGTTGATTGGATATATCCAAATTGAACTCTTTACTAGAGAAAGACATAGTTGGCAAACTATCAACTAAATTTCATGATTAGCGTGATGACTTTAACTTTTCTATCGTCAACTTCCCTTATTTTTTCAGCAATATACCATTACCTATTGCAAATCGGGTTTGTGTCTCCCTGCACTGGTGATTCGATACACAATTAAGAGAATGTTCTATATACGGACATATACCTTGATGATATAAGGGTATCAATAATCTCATGTACAGTGAACTTTTTGCAAATTCTATGGTCAATACAATGACCTTGTTTACAATAACAATCTGTCGTTAGGTTTGTTAACTCTCTCATACCAGTTAATTGATGGGCCATTTTTTTCATACTAATTTGACTGTGTATTTCTCCATTTACACGATCATGACAAAGGACGCTCGGCGGGTGTGACTTCTAGACGAGGAAATCTTACTCCTTCATGGCATCTGATCCCACCTCTGATGTTTTAAAAGTTTGCATTGTTCACAATTTGTATTGTTTAATTGAACTCTTCAACATGATTACTGTTCGTTGTCTTTACTTTTCATGGAAAAGTTGAAGTCATCTCACACAGTTTAGTTTAGTTGGCCATTATTGTTTATAGTCAGTTAACACCCAAATATATGAAACAGATGTTGTGGACTCTGTGGTGTCTTTATTTCGAGTTCACTGGTATATATCGGATAAACATATGAATGAAAGTAATTATTGTTAATTGATAAAACGTCGTTGATTTATATGAAGGAAGTGAAAGCCCACAGCAGGACTTTTCTCATGTGGAAGTATTTGAATAAATTCTGCTTTATAGGAATATAAAAACATGTCGACTAATAAAGGAGCACAATTATGTTCCATCGAAATTCCAACAGACTGTTCGAAGACATTGTCTCCAAAGACTACAAAGATCTTGTAAAATAGGATTTCCGGCATAATTTTAACATCATCCCCAGAGTAGTTATTTGTAGAGGCAGACTTTTTTTTTTACAAATTAATTGTATAATGACTAGTCAGGAGACATGCAGGAAAAATTCCCATGTTCAATTTTTTTTTTTTTTTTTTTTGAAGAAGCCGTTCTATTATATCAAAACACCTGGTTCTGAGGACATAAAACTTAGATGAGCTCACTTTTGATTTCAGTCTCACTTTTACCAAAGGAATAAATAGTGGAAAAGTGAGACTGAGATCAAAAGTGAGCTCGTCTAAGTTTTATGGCCCTGGAGCCTAATCTTTAATTTATCACAGGGAATGGCTATATAAAGTGTTGTAAAATCAATTACGTTTTGGTGTTATTGAAAAAAAATGTGATTTTAAATGTTTTAAAAATGTAAAAGTTCGTCAGAGATTTTAAAATCTATCAATTATATGATTAATACAATTTCATGAATATGTTGAAGCATGGTGTGTCTTAAGTTTCTCCTTCACAGCAGTTAACATTTTTGTGAGAAGTAAAAGTAGGGGATTGGTAGAACATTTGCTGGAACCTGCATGTATCTTTGTTTGTAAGGACTTTCCTGAAGTTTAAGATTCCAGCATAGAAAGGATAAATCGAATTCAATTTTGTTGGCTGTAATGTTAAGGCCGTTTAAAGACTGAAGCGTGATTTTGGGGAATTTAATTCATCCTAAGGGAGAAAATCTTGGAGTATAAGTTGGATTTCCTTACAAAGAATTAAATCCAAGCTCCTCTAGCAGATCGCTATTTAAATGTTCTTAAGAAATTGTGTAGGTAAATCAAAGTTATGCATGGATATGAGTTCTACCTATATCGCAATCAACTGATTAAAAGTTATGTATCAAATACACTGTACATACAGGTAAATACTGTAAAACAGGTTAGCTTTGTCGTATTATTTTGATGCTCTATTTTCGTGTGTACATGTGTATATATAGCTATATAATCGACACTAAGTCTTGAAAAAAATTCTAGCACATCTTGTCCCAATTTTGGGAAAAATATAAACTAATGAATTTTTATCCTAGGCGGCTGTTAATAATGAGTTGTATATCATAATCTGATATCTGAAAGGGGAGATAAAGGGGTCCTTTAGATGGTCATTCTAGTACAATATGCAGATCATCTCTAATAACTTTTGTTAAAGACAACCATGAGATAAGCTATAAGGTGTACTGAACAACAACTGCATTTTCGGGATGCTATTGGTTTTCTAATTTCAGTCCAAGTAGCTGCATACTTGCCGCAAACACAAATTAAGGCTCTTTATAGGCTGTCATGGTTTCTTTAGCTTCATTGTAGCAATGTCTGCAGCATGTTTGCAGCAATGTCTGCTGCAGACTTGCAGCAAATGTTTGCAGGAAGGCAATATTTTTAGTAAGGGTAGCTTATTTAATTATTATGCCAGAAAAAATTCAAATTATGAAACTGATAAATATATTAGTAGTTACATGTATATATAAATCATGTATAACAACTTCCAGATCGAATACAGGGCAAAACGCTGTAGTTGGGGGTTAATATTCAATAGGTTCAATTTTCAACGCGTTTATATCAGAAGTGCTGAAAAAATAAATTACCAAGATGTTGAAAAATGACCCCAGGTATAAATTCCGCTTTTGGTCTGAATTTTCAAGGAGAAAAGGCACCCCTGGTTCAATATGCGACGTTGAAATATGAACCCAGGTTCAATTTTAAACCCTGGTCAATATTTTACGTTACACCTAAAAACCATCATGTACTATGATATCAAATAACATTCCGAGACAAGAAACTCAAAATGCGTTGACAATATCATGCTTCATAGTTAATGTCTATGAAAAAGTCCCTCTTATCTCTAAATACTGAATTAAAATGATTTACGAAAAACGAATTAGTACATGTATGTAGCCTTAAGTCAATGAACAGAACTAATCGACAAGCTTTTGTTAAGACTAAAACCAATCCCTGTCCTATAGGTCCAAACTCCATTTATATTAACAAAGTGTTGCTTTGCATTTCGCGTCTTTCTCATGCCTGATATAATTTAGTCTTTTAAAAAGTGATTCTTGAATCCATTTTTGTTGCGGTTTGAGTGTTAATAGTAATATTAATATGAAGTTCATGTTAATACAAAGCTTATAAGAGTCAAATTACGGGGGGGGGGGGGGGGGGGTGTTAAAGGCATCATAAGGCAGAGTGAAACAATGCCCGCAATGTTATTCTTGACAATATTCATTGAAATCGGGGGAATTAATGCACTCCTGCACTACATGCACAATATGTTATGGTTCCAACAGACAATGCTTGTAACAATATCGTGTATGTTTGTAAGGCTCTTAGTATAACTGTATTTTAGAAGAACTTGGATTTAATTGTACCTCTTGAAATCCAACTTATACTCACAATTCACTTTCTAAGCATTAAATTCTTCAAAATCACATTTCTTTAAACATTCCAGTCAACCAAGGCGAGTTCGACCTACCCTACCTATACTAAGTCTTGATTCCAAAACTTCATAAAAATCCTTATACAAAGATACATTGGCAAACCCAGCAACTACTCTACCAATGCAAGCCCATATCCTTACTCCTCACAAAAATATTAACCTCTGTACTGAAAAAACTTCAGACGTTCTGTGCTACAGCATATTCTAGAGGTGGTTATAAATTAGACGTAAATTCTTAAAAATTCTGAAGAACTTTGAAAACATTTAAAATCACCAATTTTTTTTAAAGTCAGTAGCATCAAAACCTACAATATTTCTACATTTTATACAAATATTTCTCACGATTAATTAAAAACTATGTCTTATGATATCATAGACAACTGCTTCTTCAATAAAAACGAAACGCGGAAATTTTCGTACATTTTATCTATTAACAATATTCATTTTCATTCAAACTTCGATTCGATATATCTCTTTGAACTCGAAATTAAAGATACCGCAGTCTGGCACATCTGTTTCATACTTGGATATTTTACTAGGAAAAACGTTAATGGTACCTATCAACAAGACCTAAAGATAAACCTGATTGATTTACCTTTCTCCTCATTAATGTAGCAATATACCATTTTCACCTGCATATGAATTTTTTTGTCCCCAGTTGATTCGTTACTCAAGGGCATGCTCCACTACGAACAATTTCTGAAAAGGAGCAAGCTATTGACAAATAAGTTAATGAAATAAGAAAATCAAACGTCTCCTTTAAATTTAACATTTCGTAAATTTTATGGTCAATACAATGACCTTGTCAACAAATACAATCTATCAGTCGAATGTTGACTGACGTTTTTCTTACACATTGTTAGACCATAATTCTCTAACTGAATTGTCTACGGAATTTTCCGTTTACCCAATCATGACAAGGAGCACATGGTGGGTGTGACCGGTTGACAGAGTATGCTTACTCCTCCATAGCATCTGATCCAAGCTCTGAATTTTTAAGTGGTCAGGATCTATTTGCTCTGCTCCAAATTTATATTGTTTTAATGGACTTTAGAGTTTGATTACTGTACAATACCTTTTATTTTTCACGGCACAGAAGAAAAAATCTTTTTCACACTCATGTGATTGTTAAGAATCTTCAGTCTCTTGATTTATACACATTTTTAAACACATTTAAAAAGAAAGGACTCCATATCTGTGCTTCATAGAAATATGTAGTGAATTTTTTCAGAAAAAGACATTACTGGTTCCATTGAAATGTGCTTGATTAGGCAACATTTCACATTAGAAATCTTAAATAATTGAAGTTACTGAAAGGGACTAAAGGTTTTCATCGAAAAAGGCAATATTTCTTAATACACAACATCTGAATTATACCAGTTTTACTGTAATTCTAAGCAGTTTATTAATATTAGGAATTTAAGAGAAAGAAAGAAAAAAATTCTGTCACATATATTTAATAACATATTAACAATCTTATTGACATAGATCAGTAAACAAGATACACTGAAATTTTAAGTCCACGGATTAATAGAACTGTTTAACACACAACTATTGGCTTTTCTGAAATATGTACAAGGACACAGTATATGATGTTATTACACTATAGGCTTAGATTAAAATATGCACTACAGTTTTTTTTATTATTCTATTTTATTACATAGGTAATATATTTCACTTTACATGTAATATTTGTAACTGGGAAAAGCTAGTTTTTAAAAAATGCTGCATAATGGAATGCTTTGATACAGGAAGGAAATGTCTAAATATCTTTAGGATATATTGTATAAACTTACTACATATTTCACAGTAACTGTTAATATTTCTGTTTTAACAAAAAAAAAATCTTTTTTTCAAATTTCATAAGGTAGTATTTGATACATAATCTTAATGGTTTGTTACATACACTATAAAAGTAAATTTAACATAAAATCTCCTAATTACACAGTTGCTGCAAGTCTACTGAAGTCTACAACATTATTCATTGCTAAAATCAAATTCTTTCCACAGAAATTAATTTAAAAACAGTTTATATATTTGTACACATATTGCACATGTTGGTTAAAGAATCAATACAAAAATCACATTCTTTAGTTACAAGAGATGGTTAATAAAAATTATGATATACAAATATTTCATTGATATACGTTACCAAGCAAAAAGTACTTATAAAGCAGGTAAAGGCACCATTTTGGGAATGTAGAATATTCTTAAATTTGTTAAGAAATATGAAATCTGATTAATATATTCTATGCTGAAGAGAGAGAGAAAGAAAGCAATGAACTTTGTAAAAAAAAAAAACTACTAAATGACTGCTGTTGTCATGTGATTTTGTTAAAATTTCAACCAAAAACTTAAACCCTAAATTTAAATTTAAACTCTTCATCTATAAAGCAAAATAAAATGGTATTTTATCCAATTTTAATCATTAATAATGTGTACATTGTATTTTCATTTTTAATACATTAAACATAATGCAGAATTAATAACCCTTTTTCATTACAACCCATTTACTTTGTACAAGTTTCAGATCACTTCTTCAACATAATACTTCTAACTTCAACATGATTTTTTTTTTGTTCTGGTCTCCGAATACCTTTTCTGATTAATGGTGGACTTCTAATATCACGTGACTAGAGTGAAACACTTATGTATGGCAATATAAATTTCCCAAGTAAACCAAACAAGACAGTAATATAATAACATAACAATACAAAACTGGTGTCTGGAATGATCTGAACTAAAACACATGTACCTCTAATGACTGGAATGGTTTTGAATTTGTAACGTAAAATGGTTTGAATTTCTTTAGTGTTACTTATAACAATTTCAAAACAATGGTTTTAAAACTTGTTGGTTCAGACATTTAAAAAGTTTTGCGCAGCATAAAAAACAAATTTACAACCTTAAAAAGCATTGTATATTGGAATTTTGAAGTCCTTCATCAAAACTATGGATTAAAAAAGTCAATGTAAATAAGTTATTAAAATACTGCTTAAAAAAATTCCTATATATATTAAAAAGAAATCCTATACTTTTACTATATTGATAATAAATTTTGTTAATTTAATGAATTTATTGAAATGCACAACCCAGATATGGTAAAATGGAAAAAATTAATTCAAAAAAAAAAAAAAATAAAATTATTAAAAGTACACAACCTGATATGGTACGTGTAGACTTCAACTGCCTCAAATAAATCACTGTACCAGCAAAAACGTGTAACCATGTATATGAGTGGAAAAAAAGTTTAAGAATTTCAACAACAACCAAAAAATGATTTAAAAATTACCTTATTCCTGTTTAAAAAAAAAAAGTTAAATTATTAAATCTGTGCATGTTGTGCTAGAAAACGATGTGTTAATATAAATTGCAATTAAGTGTTTGCGATAAAAAAAAACTTGTATTAAAATTAAACCATAAATATTTGCTAGTCAATCAATGAAACATGCAACTATTTACATAAAATGATAGGGGGTACAATATTGATACAAAAATAACACAGAAGCACTTGCAAAACACCACTTGTTTCTAACAGTGGACAACAAATATGTGTATAACACCTGATGGTTAATCATGCATACCAAAAAAAAAAAAAAAAATACACAATGTCCATAATATTTTCCTACTGATATGAAAATCGCCTTCCTTTACTTATCAATGCCTAATTACATAGCAATAACGAGGGAAATTTTCAACGTCTTTTCTTCTGTTGATAAGAAAGTTATTTCCCTTCACAAACAACTCTTGAGTAAAATATCCCAGAATCTTTCTTTTTTTCCTGACAGAACATATAAAAATGATATATGGTAAAGCCTAAGTGGAAACATGCAGAATGACAAATGAGAGTAAAGCTGATTCATAATGCTATATGCTGAGGAAGCTTAGAATGTTAACAAAAATGCCCTTTGTGAGTCAAACAAGCCCATTACATGAAAAAAAGATTTACAAATCTTACAACATGTAAAAATAAAATCATGGAATAAAACAAGTATTTTGATCAAAGTGTGCTTTATGATTAAAACTAAGCAAAGAAAATAACACACAATTCATTATTTGAGATAGATCACTTAAACTATAAACTTTCAGTCGTTCTAATAAGATTATTAACAATAAAGAGAATACAGTAATTTATGAATTCATGATGCTAAAAATAAAATTCCAATGGAATGATTGAGAGAAAAAAATTCCTTGAACAGGACATTTCTATTACGACCTTTTCTACTCTTCTCTGAACAACTCCATAAGTCTAGCATATATATAACTTTGCAACAACGCATGGAAAATACACAAAAATAAAAACAGGTTAAATTTCTGTTATGATGCTAATTTTCTCCACTTTGGGAGGTTTTTCCGGGGCAGTCACATGCCAAGGTGAAAGTTCATCACTTCCATTCACTGCAGACCTGTTATGTGTAGAATCTGACTTGTTCCTTGAAGCAGCCCTGTTGGTTGCCTTGGGAATGGGCAGACTAGTTGAAGAAGATTTAGTTTTAGACCCTTTTGTGGCAGTTGGATTTGAATCCTGGAAAAAGAAGTTTAATTCTAATATTTTATGAGAATATAGCTAAATGCAACTTTTATGGCCCTCCAAAAAATCCTTAAATATTGATCCTCAATATAGAGGAAAAAAATTCCACCCTCCCCCCTTAAAAAGAAAATCGTAAGAAATTTTTGCACAATTATTTCAGAAATAATATTTGGCACAAAAAAATAATCAATTCTCAGTTTATTAGCATGAATGCCAGTAATAATCTTCTATAAGCTTCTATAATTCAAATGGAAGCTTTGTTGACAGCATTATATATCTCGTACAATCATCATAATTATTGAAGTCTAAACAAACTTAAGTTACTTCAACCAGTGGACTAATATGAGAAAATCCTATCATAGTTTACATTTTCAAATCAATAAAATCATTCACCAGGTAAGTAACATCTACAATATTTTCATACTTGACCTAATTTTCTTTTTAAAAAGTCATATCATATATATTTGTAAATTCTTTTTAAATATTGATTAGTCTTCTATATGGTATTACATGTACATCTGCATTATTATCAACAAAATATCACTTTTTTCCAATCTTTATCCAATTACCTCAGAGAGAAAAAAATACATGCATTTTCCCCTTAAATCTATTATTACATAATTAATTATATACCTTTGAAAACCAAGACCTAGTATATATTTTACATTTAATAATGTGGTATAATATCTTATTTTGTTAATGTGGTGATATAAAATCCGTAAAAACATTTTACTGAATATATTCTCTATACTTTACCCATTTAAAATATATCAGTAATGATAACAGGTTGACACCGCTAAAATTGAAAATATAAACTGAACTGTTTGCGTAATTTTAGAAAAATGCAGTGAAATATTGTAGTTAAAAAAGTGCCAAACAACAAACACACATCAACAAACACATTGAAAAAATAAATTCTGAAACCTGTCAAATGCATTTCTTAGATTATTTTTTTCAAAAAAAAAAAATAAATAAATAAACAGCAGTTGCAATGGTATTAATATTAATTATCATCCACCCTGCACATCTAATTAAAGTAACTACAAGTAATTCTACATAAAGCATGCCCTACAGAACTACAGAAACTTCTACTCTATATTGCAATTGCCTTTTCACCTATCAATGATGGCATCAAAATGTCCTTTTTATATGCCCTTTCTTTTCAATAACTTTCTACTTTTCACAACAAATAAGGAGCAATGTTCTCTGCAGGGCAATGTGAAAATTCTTTTATAAATATGTGTATATGGTAAGTCAACTTGTCCAATTCGAAAAATAAATTATTTTTGTCACCCCAAAAATAATTGATATTCTAAATGAAAAACATTAGTTTCTTACTAAGAGGGTTTCTTTTCTTATTTTTGAAAGTATAAACCATTTGCATGCAACTTGAAAACATTATGCCATCTCTGAAAGGTACACAGGCCTGCAGATTCACAAAGAGCAAGAGATAAATACAAAGACTTACAACAGAGGAGACGGGGTTGTGATGGTGTTGGTGGTGTTCCTTTTTGGAGGGCAGTGGGATTCCTGACCCCATGGTGCTTCCACCGGAGGACACTGGCAGGGCAGAGGTGGATCTGAGGACAGGGATAGAGGAGGAGGTGGGGGAGGGAATATTGGACCCGCCCCCCTGGAGAACCGAAGCAGACTGGGTAGCGGGTTTTCTGCTGGAGGGAGTCGGGATGCTGCTGCCTGGGCGAGGAATATTAGAAGGCTTGTTAGCCTCTGTGTTGGTTATTTTCCCTTGGTTTTCCAAATTTTTTGTGTTTTTCTTTGATGCTCCTAAATCTTCCTCCACATTTTCCACTTTACTTGTAGGTGGAGCTGTGGAATTTGTGCTAAGGGGCATCTCACACTCTACTGATTTTTGCTTCACAAATGGATTGATAGGGGAGGGGGCAATTTCTCTATCAGGTGACTTCAAAAATGGATTGGTGGATCTAGCCACTTTGCTTTCATCACGGGTGGAGTTATAGGGATTGGGGATTCTGGTTTTAGGCCTGGGTGCTGGTTTGGGTCTTTCTGCCGTGCTACAATTTGAAGAACTCTCCTGTAGTTCTCCACCGCTCTTCTCAATAATCACTGAATCAGCTTCAGGAATGGAGTCTGAGTTGGGAATTGTTCGGGGGATGGCCTTGGGGGGTGTGATGCGACTGGCTGGTGCAGCAGTGTTGAAGCGTGGAATTTTAGAAGCATTGGCGGGGGGAGATTTGGGCGACTGGGGGTGAGACAATTCTTCCTGTGGCTGTGATATGGGTGAGGGTGGCTTGTTCTCTACAGGTGAGGCACAGGTAGACCCCTCAGAGCTCTGTGTTGCAAAAAGAAGCAAAGATTCTAATGGCTTAATCCACATGGTAAAAAAACAGAAATTATACGTGAAGGGATTCTAAAATTCAAATCTGTATAGACTGATTTTATATATTCCATGAACTTCAAGAAAAAAATCAAACAATTTTTAAGCAATCAAAAAGTGTTCTTTTAAAGTTTTACAAATTTTCTGACTAAACAAAATTCCTTGACTTTGGATTATATTTTTTCCCTCCTTTCTTTTTAAATGCAAGATTCTTGAAATACCCCTACTGTTAAATTTATCGTTAAAATTCCTGCCTGCTTTGCTTCTTTGTATCAAATAATAAGTTTATATTACAAAGGCTTTATGTTAATATATCATATTAATCATACTTTGTAACTATTTACTATCATGTTATACTGAACTTTTTAATATAAAAGAATTTTTTTCAGTATATCATATTAACATGTAATTATGATATTATGTACTGTTCTTACAATGATACATACATGTATTTTAATTATAAGAGTTAAGGGTTGTTGTCATCATGCAACTGAAGAATTTGTACAATATACACTGTACATCTTTCATGCAAGAAATTACTGTAAAGAAAAGTTTCTTTTACATATATTTATTTTGTTACTCTACTATTTCTATTTTCACCATTAGTAAATAGTTCTTTTTCAGTCAATTAAGAGAGTTGTACAAGACTGCACTACACCAGAAAATGGCAGATGGAGAATATCTAGTTTTACAATGATCTTACTGCACATCCTATTTCTTAAATTACATTTCAGAGGCCCTTTACAGTGAACAGTATATCTTAAATGACAGGGACTGGGCCTTTATGGAACGATAAATCTCTAAAGGTTTGTTTATGAAAAAAAACCTTTGATATTTAACAGGGTGTCTACATTGAGATAGTTATTTTACCTATATGTAGAACGAATTCTGTATACATACCCTAGGATACATGTTCATAACACTTAAAATTAAATAAAATTTCATGACTTTTCAAAATAGGTTTAAAATTTATCTATCACCAATCCAAATTTTCAGAGAGCTAAATGTGCGCGTGAAAACATTCGAAAAATTTTAAATAAATTATCATAATCGCAATATTTAGATTTCTATGGTTATCTTTGAGTGTCAGTTTCCTGATCCATTAAAGCATGAAAATTAAGTAAAGCGAGGAACATTTAGAAAATAAAATCCTGCACAACCAGATCTGAAGCGCAACTAAAGTCAAAATCAACCCAAGAACATTAGAAGAATTTTCTCTTAGAAACAACAAACATTGGTTGGTGTCCTGCATACCTGGGAGGGGGAATTCAATCTGGGAGGGGCTGTATTCATGTCGAAGACCTCATTATCCAACTGATGGGCAAGGGTGGGTCTATCAGATCTACACACAAAAAATAAAAATGGAATAAAAGTTAGCAAACAGAATAGCATAACATCTTTTTGATTCTTCACAGAGCAAATTCTTTTTAATATATGTGTATGTGTATACTGAGAAAGTGTCACTGGCTGTTATATCTGAGCATGTAAAAATGTTTTGCAATGCTATCAGAGATTCTTTTGTAAAAATACTGGTGAAAAATCATGTCTTGCACAATGAGGAAAACACTGACAACTAACTGGTAACATGTAAAATTGAAGCAACTTGTGTCAGTTTGTTCAGGAAAATTCTTTCCACTAAGAAGCCTGTATTCTGATTATTGATATGTGTTTTATTCAATCCCAGACTACTGTGGAATCATTTGTTTGTGGGGGGGAACCAATTTTTGTGGATCTCATTGATCACCATTACTCACAATATTTAAATTCCCTCACAAATATTTTCTTGTCAAAATATATGTCAATTGAATCTGCTGTATACATGTAAATGAGTTATCAACCAAATCATGTCCCCATGAAACAGTGAAGTTTTGGTTGCCATCAAACAATGACCCCCACAAATAAAAATGATTCCACAGTATTTTATAAAACAGTAATGGACAGAGTTGTGAATATAGTTTGATATTGATAAGAAACCTGAGCTTCATTTCTGACAGTCAATACTAATTTTTCTCTGGTCAATATCAAACCATATTAACCACCGCTGTATAATATTAAATCATTTTCCATAATTTAATAAAAAAAAATTGGTGGTCAAACATAACAAGCTTTACCCTTTGTAACTTGAGGAAGAGCTTGTCTTTGAAAATTGTCTTCTTCTTGGGCTGTCAATAAAAAGGATAAAAATACAGATTATAATTTCCTATTTCAGTACAGTGGTTTTTATGTGTACAAAGCATTGACAAGTGTGAGACTGTGCAAGCACACATTAAGTGTTCCATAGATATCTATCAAAGCAAACAGCAAGAGTTCCTGGGTTATAAATAAATTCTGGGTACACATATTTAGATTTCCAAATATTTGATGCTATATTGTGTATTTTAAAAGGTAAAAAATAAAGAACTTTTTCTGATGAAGAAGTGAAATTCATTATAGGTAAATAAAGCATATGTTCATGTACATGATTTTTCAAGCTGAAACCTTTCCTAGCAATAATGGCTGATAATGAATTTAATAATCATATTTTTAAGTACAACCTAGAAAAATTTAGATTTTTTCAACTTTTCAAAGTACGCGGAAAAAAAGTCCTAACATTCATATAATACTGCATTCAATTCAATTTTAATACACATTATAAATGTATCTTTTGTTAAACTGTTGGAATTTTATTAAAAAAAAATCCCTCCACACACACCTGGCAAAAAAACATCGCATACTTATTTTCAAAAACCTCAAAAGATGCTTTAAATAAAACACAACTACACAAGCATGAGCTTCACACACCAAGTGCTTCATAAACAAAATATACCTGTGGGGGGCATCTACAATATCAATAGGGGGAATGTCAACTCTAAGCTTGGCTTTTTCCTCGTCAATATCATCGTTCTCCTCCTCGGAATGTTCCTCCTCACTGCTGTTCTCTGTGCTGTAAGCAAGGGGGTGAAAAACAAAGTTAGGCAGAAAGAGTGTGTGTGTGTGACACAGACATTGGTAGGACTAGCTTTCTATAATGGCAACAAAAAGCTCAGGACAAGCAAAAGAAAAAAAAAACACACGTATATATGCCACTGTTTACTGAATATCCTATTATATAATTAAAAATATTCATTAGTATTTCTTTCACTGTTTACATGTGAAATCACAAATTTTTGTGGGGATTAATTTTCCTTGTTTTCTTGGATTGAAGAGACTCTAAAACTTGTATCATCTGTGTTAAAATTTCAAATCACAGCTTTAAGTCCTTTAACCCTGAAATCAAATCCCCATGAACCAACAATTTTTCCCTCAAACCACAAAAAAATTGACCCGTGAAAATAAATGATTTTATAGTATATATCCTTTAAATTTCTTTTCCTCTTTCCTACACGTTGCAATAAAATTAAATATAAAGCAATTATCATTGTCCATTTATAAAGTTCCTTAATACATTATTAGATATGTACATGTATAAACATAAAGGAAGCTAATGTTCATAAAGAAAACAAAACAGATGCTAGACAGAGGCAAGGCACGGATTTTAATCAAAAAACATCAAAATGATCATTTCAGAGGAACAAAAATCTTGGTAAGTAATGAGTGACGAATGCTGAATGATATTCAGTCAACTCTTTCACACTACCTTTTCTTTATTCATACAATATCAGTCTAATCCTTTACTAAACTCAAAATGTAAAAATCTTCTTATATTGAATAATAATATTGAATTCTGTTAAAGAACATCTTACTTCTAAATATTTTCTGCACAATTTCCTGAATGGTCACAAATATTTTATTTTTTTTTAATTTTAAAAAAGGGGGGCATTCTTGAATAGTAATAAGGAAATTTTCTTATATACTGTATACTGGGTAATTTTAACCCTGCATTATTTTCACACTTTCAAACAATTTTACCCCATTTTAAATTTTTTATGACACAGTTGAGTTAAAGAGATCGTGTTGTTTACTTTGATTTTGCTCCGTTTTAAATTTGCCCTCTTGAACTGATGGCAAAGGGGCAAAAATAAAATAGGGCCAAAAATTTCCCTGTATACAGTAGTTACAAGTACTATATAAAGGTATTTTTTGTTGATTAGGTTTATCATTTGAAAAGACATTGAGAGGGGGAGGGGGAAGAAGGGGGGTTAAATCTTCTCAATAAATCTACCTGTATTTCTCTCTCAATACTTACCTTCTGCTATCACTCTCAATAAAACTCTCATCTTTGACATTGACCTCATCCACCACTGGTGCTAAAAATAACAGAATTATCAGGCATAAAGTTGCAAATGGCAATTGCATTCATTTGGTTTCATTCAAAATGATGCTGATCTTTTACATGACAAAAATTCAAGTTTTGGAAAATACAGCAGCTGCTTATTTTCATACACATGTACATTTGCTTCCAAAGGAAGAAAAATTTTAAGTTTTGATATGAAAGACGGTGAATAAATATTTGTCCTCAAGCATTGGCAGGAGCAAAAAAAAAGAGTTCAGATAGAATTATAAGACTTGAATGTGAAACCTTTCTTCAATTCTTCCTCCATTTTGGCTTTGAAGATGTTACACTTCATCTGGTCGGGAGGTATGGTGGCGGCTCCCCCGGCAAACTTCACCTGGTTGTTCTTAAAGCTGTTGACATTGGGTTTTGGGCGGGGTGGTACTGTATTGTGTTTTGGTGCCGACTCATCTAAACCCTTTATTTTGGCCTGAGCCATCTCTGAAGCTTCTGAAGAGGAAGAGAAAAACAAACTGATGTAAGCAACTTCATTTTCAGAGAGAACTTTTACATCATCATTTCTTATTATCTTAGAGAAAAGCTATTATATACATACCAGTATATCTTTACGTTAATTTTCTAACTTTCATTGCTATTTTACATATATACATGTCTTTGCTTTACATGCTTAAGAAACTTGCTGGCTTAATATTATGGAGTCAGGAATATTTTCAAGCTTAAGCAATATTATAAATAATACTGGAATATAACACTGCACAATCATTCAATAATTTTTCTAAAAGTTTCACTCATGCAAAAAACACAAATATATGTATAAGAAATTAAAAACAATCTTATAACAAAAATAAAGTAAGCTGCGAGGGCACATATGCCCAATCAGGAAAACATGAAATACTTTAGAGCATGATACACCTGCAACAGAGGTTTGATGATCCTAAGTTTCATCCTGGGCAAATTAAGATTCTGAAAGAATTTGACAATGCATAGCCATAAAGTTCCAAAAATGAACCACACCAACCTACTTTTGGCTTCAATCACACCTCCCTCCCCCTTCCCCCGAAATCCCCCCGTTTGATGTTTCTTAGCCTTACAGTGTGAAAGATACAACCTTGACAAGAAAAACCTAACAGATGAACAGGCGTACAAATGAAAAAGCCGTTACCATAATACGGCCTTGTCAAAAGACTGACGTATAATAAAAATCAAAACTGCGTGAATAATGAGAGGGGTGACAGGACCATGCAGGGGAGAAAACTCTGTTTACTTACCTTCATGAGCTAGCAGAATACAAGATTAAGAACTTTTATCAATAATGAATAGTATAGGATTTAGGAGAGAGGCTTTACGAAACGTATGTTAAAGTTACTTTGTTGTGGCTTTTATCTTGAGCTATTATGCTAAAGCACCTTACATTTACATGTATGTAGATAATTCAAACATAAAAGTACAGATGCATGTAAATTACGTACATTTCATCAACCAAAATTGGTTGCATGACATATAGATGTACACATACATCCACAAAAGTTTCCTAAGTCTTAAATCAACAGACTAAAAAAAGCATACATCCATTTCAGAAAACCTCCTTAAAGATGTTTTTTGTTGGAAATTTCAATTGGAGCAAATCTACTGATAAATGACAGTAAGAAAAGGTAAAGAAATGCCTGTAAATGAGAATATAGATATAAAGCCTGGCTTTTACTAGTAGAAGAGGGTGGAGTACCTCTTCATATATAGTTTACTTATTAATTATGCTTATTTTTTACTGACCTCTGAGGCTGATTTCTGGTTCTGGGGGTGGAGGAGGAAGTGGTGCCCGAGCTTTGGAGGATCCAGCTGCTTTAGGGGATGTTGGTGGATCTACAGTGGTGGAAGCTTTCTTTTCATTCTCTGTTTTGATAAGGGCATCCAATCTATCCATAGCACCTGATTTATAATGCATACATATTTATCTATTAGCAAAAATGAATAAAAAATTTTCGGCCAAAGTTACTCCCCTTTCATCATAGTTATTATAATAGCATTCTTTGTAAAAAGGAAGTCCAAAATCTTCATCTTAAAACACACTGAAGTTTAGATCCACCTAGTGGATACTCATACAAATTGTGTTTTCATAAATCAAACTATTGTACATTTTTAAAAAAAAAATTTCCCCATATTCAGTAGATAGTAGTCTTAAATTATGCATTAATCTTGATTACAAACGGAGAGATTTAAAAACAATGGAACCTGTAGCAGAAGGGGATACTGATCCATTGATCCGTGGAGATTTTGGGGGTGGAGTCACAGGTGTGGCCTCTGGGGTAGTGGGGGACTGGGGAGGAACTTTGTTAGTTTCCACCTGAACCCTCCGTCTGTAGAATGAAAACAGTTTTATATAAAAATAATGCTATTCATCACAAAAAATCATTTAATTATTGAATAACATGTAAATGATAAAATCTGCTTTATTTCTTTTTTCATTCAAGATTTCTGGTACTATGTCTTAAAAGTAAAGAAATAATTCACCAAACTAATTCATGGGGCACTTGAAGTAGTAAGACAACATAAAATAATATAAAAATACTCAAAGTTTCAAGAACATTTTTATTTTTTGTCAGCAACGAAAGCTTCTTTAAAAAAAAAAAAAAAAAAAAGATAATATACTGACCAGGCTTAAAATTTCAGTGCAAATATTTGATTAAACATTAACAAAAAAGACAGTTTGGGACTCTCCTATATAATCACCTTTCTTTTTCTGCCTCTCTTCTTTTCTTTCGTTCTGCCTCCCGTTTCATGGCCTCTTCCCTCTCTCGTTTTTCAAAAGTAGGTCGTCTTGAGTACCTCTGACTGCCCTTCCTCTCAAATTTCACACTTCGTCGCGCACGGCTCACAGATGCAGTCTGATATTCTGTCCTTCCACTGAAAAGAAATTTATTATATCATTAAAAAAAAATCAATCAAACATCATTTGTTATTGCATGCTTTAAAACAAGAGATGCATCAGACATATCACTCACATGAGCTGCCAAACTTTATACTTTGTCAATTTACTTCAGAAAGAAATGAACAATAGTTTAAAGAGAAAGATGTACAAAATCACACACTAAGGACAGGCTGACAGATAACAGGTGAACTTAAATTTTGAACACTCATTTAAATAATACTTCTGCAAACCCTTGCAAAAAAGTTACATGTATTAGTATTATTGTTTAGGATATTGAGTTATCTCCCTTGAACTGCACCTGTATCTAAACCTTGATCCCATTCTGAAGAAGTTCTGTCTGGCATTCGGGCCTTTCACAGGTCCTTTCAGTCTGAAGAAAGCATGATGCTCTATAGCACACTTCCACAGGTGTTTGGCCACTTTCTCGCTGTGTAGGCGGAAAACGAAAGTGTGTTCTTGTTCTCGGCCCTCATCATCATCTTCCACTACCACCAGTTTAAGCTTCTTTCCATGGAAATCCAACTTTGTCATCTTAGGCCTGTAAGGGTGATAAAATCCAAGTTGTACAATATCCAAAAGTATGATTGTATATGAGAAAATACATCTATATATATTTACATTTTTTTAAAGAAAATTTTCATATCTTAATTTTTTATTGTATTATTTTGTATCTGAACACCCCAACCACCCACCCCCCAAAAATTCTGAACCATAGTCTTAAAATGCTCCTGAGAAATTCAAGTATTAAAATCGTTATATTTCAATTTACTCCATCTGAAGACTTAATTCTGTCTTACTCAGGGTTTGCATAATTTATATGATTGAGCAAGAATGAAACTGTAAAATATATTTGCTATAAAAGTTTGACATAGGTAATACCAAAAGAAAAGTCCAATTTTCTGTTGACTCTCAAAAACGAGTATCCCTGTGGGGGTGAGTCCTAATTTATACTCCTGTCCATCCCGACCCTGAAAAAGAAATGTTTCAAGGTGACCCAGATTATTATCATATGTTCACCCATTTGATACAAATAAATTATTTATCTATGTATATTTACATTTCCAATGTCTTTGTCCCAGATAAAATTACAAATTGTAAAAATACTTTATTTCTACATAAATCTACTGGTTCATCGATAGGCGCGGTTAAAAAAAAATCATGTGCGGGGCGGGACAAATAGAGACAGAAGCGGGGCTATTAGCACGGGAATTTGCAGAATCAGGAGCATGTAAATATAAGGAATAACTGTCAGATTTTTTGGATTCATGACGATGATCAATCGATTGGCTTGCGTGATAATTTTATGCATAAATGCCTTCTGCGTTTATGCAAATTATCACGCAAGCCACTCGATCACATCATGAATCCAAAAAATTAGACAGTTATTCCTTAAATACATGTCCGATACTTGTACTCTAGTAAACATTTACCATTTCAATGAAACAATTTCTTTGATAAAGTTATTTTTAAAGAATGACCAGGTGTTGTAACCATTATTATCTTGCCATCAATACAATCAATCTGCCGATATTCTGTATATATACATCCTTCATCATCACTCACCATGACAGTATGCATGTCTACACCATACATCTCTAGGTACTTGGCCTTCATTAAAAAGTTCAGTTCTGACTGGGCAGGTGTCTGGCCCCTGAAACAAAGGAACCTCTGATAAATGTTTCAACACAGTCAACAGTATGATGAATTGATTTTTAATCAGGATACAGTAAAACTCTTTTATAAACAAGTAACTGGGACTAAGAATGTTGTTTCTTTATGACCAAATTTGTACAAGGAACATAAGGGAAGTCTCCTTATAATTGAGATTTCATTGTAAGTGATGTGATTTCTTTATAATCCAAGTTTTACAGTAATTCCATAAATTAAAGCAAGAAAGCCACAGATTCGATCTGTGAAGCTTATAAAAGCAGGAGAGGATCCAATCCAGCCACTGAAAGCTGATACGGATTGACGCAATTTTGAGCAGAATTCTGCTATACACATAATTAATTCCTATTTTGGTACTGCAAGAACATAGACTTACGTTTTTGTTTTATAGGCTTCAAATATGGCAAGCTCTAGCTCCTCTGTCTGATCATGGACAAAGTGGAATTCTGACACAAGTCCCGGAGTGTGAACCTCAGGATCAAAGTCTCCGAGCTCAGCTACAAAGTTATAGTTCAGATTAAATTACAGGTTGTAAATCAAAATCACATTGTACATGTGCTAATTTTCTATACTTCATAATCAAAATTTCCAAGCCTTAGCTGGTTACACAATTCACATTTTTAATCAAATGTATATTCATGTTCAATAAAATAAATTCTATAGTTCAGGCATTATCAAATTGTTACTTTACATAAATCTTTTGTATGTTGATGTTAATAGAAATGAGATACTGCCAATCACTGACTTTTCATCTGGTTAGAAATTTCAAATTCTAAAAATTTCAACTTTAAAAACTTTAAAAATTAACTTAATCAAAGAAAACTTGACAAGTTTTCATGTTCTGAACTGTAAAAGTTTCAATCTTTGACATAGCTCAGTGGAAATTGTATTGTTGAAGTACATTTTACAGTTGAACTTCATCTTCTTGAACACTGATATCTTGAATACCATGGATATGTCGAACTGATTTGGCATTCCTAACCACATTTCCTTCATGTTTTTAACCTCGATATTTCGAATCCTTGGATATCTCGAAACTTTATCTTGGTCCCATTGAGTTTGAGATAACGAAATTTGACTGTATTTTATTTTTACTCACATTGTAGAGATTCTGCGGCCAGGTCTATCAGGGTATCTTGAGGACACGGCAGCCGCCCTGAGTATATGTCATTCTTCACTTGGAGAAAGAACTGGTACCTTTCAAAAAAAAATAAATACAATGTTAACAACTTTCATTGTAAGTGACTACTGTATTTTGTGAATCGAATTTGACATGGTGGTCCACAATAAAAAAATTTTGCACTAAAGTCTTCAAATAGGTCATTAATATTATACTGCATTTGTTCACAATGACAAATATTCACAATCCAGAGATACCTACAATGTTTCTGGTTGGTTTCTCATTTCTCTGCTTTGCATTACTTATAGACCTTTTACAGTACTCTACTAGATACAACGTAACTTGGTCTGCTTTTACCTCCACAACTGATATGATTAGTTAAAAAAGTATCTTTGATGTGTATAATTATCATTCTTTTAGATACTTCTATCAGTAAGTTCCTGGAATTTAATGTGGGGTATTTAATTTCATATTGGGAATCTCATTAATGCATTGGAGACACAGCTTAAAACTCAAAAGCACTAGAAGAGGATGGTAAAAATATTTTATACTACACCTGTCACGAGCAGGCTTAATAAAATTAAGTCAAGTGTTTAGGCTCTTTGACATTTTAAGACTCTTAATAAACATAGTTACAGCATTCAAATGCAATACTCTAGCTGCTTCCAATCAAGCCAGTATATGTAGCATTTATTATCATTTTTCTAGTAGTAGAGACAGACCATCCTGCCTCTATGCATTCCATGGGAGTCAAATTACTATCATGCAGAACAGAAGAAAAGATTTTTACCTGGTCAACTCCTCATGCAGATTGTTAGGTTCTGAAGAGTAAAACTTCACCCGGAATCGAAATGTATAGGGTGGTCCAACTGTACGAAATGGTAAAAGAAATATTATAAATTTGTCAATAGCAGTAAATTTTAATTAAATTATACTTGAAACATACAAGAATCATTTATGCTTTTCTCCCTGACCAAAATAACATAAGGGAGATAATTAACTGCAGCTAAAATTTCAGACCTTACAATATTTTTTCCCCCAAAAATTCTGAAACTTTCTTTATTAAATTGCTGCAATTATCCTTTAATTATAAAGTTTTCTCTGTTGTCACCAATTTAAGGATCGTAAAAATGTTACATTCAGTGAATAATGCGTCTTTAATTATTTTTCACAAAATAAATAACTTTCAAATCAAAATCCTGACAAGTAATTCTAAACCTATAGCAAGCTCCTGGGATAAGGCGTCTGTGTCAATGTCTGTCAATAAAACACAATCAGTTTAATTCTACCTCTTTTATCCCACAACCCCACAAAAAATGGCTTCTGAATGCAGGACTTTTTTGCATATGGTTTTTCTCAAGATTGTCCATAGAGTCCGTTCAAGTCACATGAATGAAACAGACAGATTACAGGGGATTCCAATCTCTAACATAAATGTTACATACAGTATCATAATCAGCTTCGGTACCACAGAGAGTCAATCCTTTTCAACTATTTCTTAGACTCCAAATACTTTCATAGCTAAATGAAATAAATGTACCAATAAAGTATGGTCCATTCAACAAGAACTTTGGAATTCAAAAATTTTGAAGGAATGTGTGTTTATGTGGTCTGCTTCCACCTTGAATAATTTTATAATCTGACCTTGTCTTTCTTCACAAATGTTTCACCTCACTAGGATTAATATATCCACAAATTTTTCATAAAAGCAGAAAATTATACAATGTGAAAAATATGCGAGAAAAAATGTCATCATTCATAACATATCAAACTGACAAATGCTTATTTTCATAAATATTAATGTATACTTACTTTTAACCTGCTTCTTGATCTTTTTAGTTGGGTCAAGCCATTGCTACAATTACAGTAAATTGTATGAGTCTTTCTATAATATATTTCATATTTTATCATGTTTAGAGAGGCTAAAAATATCCTTTTAAATTAATCTTCTTTTTTTTTAACTTTCATAATTCTAGTACAATTCTTAAGTCATCAATTTATCCAAGTTCATAATATCAAGAAAAGAAAAACACCACAAGTACACCTAAGTGGGGTAGTTGTCAATGCTACTGCTCTAAGACATTCTATAGTAACTGTTATATCCAATCCCTCTACTCACTATGCCCAGAATGAATTATTTTTATCCAATAGCTCTTGTAGCTGTTGCTTTACTTACAGAGACACTGTGATGGTCTGTATACTGTAGTCCAAAATAATCCTTCTCCACGAGGTCAAGGTGATAAAATACTTGTTCATATAGCTCATGGCCCTCTGCTTTTTTCTGCAATCAGATTTTAAAATAATTTAAACAGGTTTTAATGTTTCACTTTGTGTGCATATCAAAAAGAATACATAATTGAAATAACCATGGTAACTGAAAACTCGTACACTCAGGCATAATTTATGTATTATCATTTTTTTAAGTAATCTGCAAATGTGCTTATGTTGTACATATATAAATTATAACATTAAAAAAATTCTGATTTTTTTTTTCTGAAAGAAGCTACAAGACATATGCTGAATAGGTAGAGAAGGGGGGGGGGGGGGGGGGCATATTTTCAAAAAAAACAAGAGATGTTTGTGAAACACTTATACCCCACCCCCCAAATAATTGGAATTTTTCTGAGACAAGGGGCATAACTCTGTCAAAAATTGCTTGATCATACCCAAAACCTAACTTGACCTAGATATTCTTATGATAAATCTGTATACCAAATTTCATTTCAGTATGCATGTGCAACCTCTGCAAAGAAAATTAACGGAAACTGCAAATAATTGGAATTTTCCTAGGTCCAAGGGGAATAACTCTGTCAAAAATTGCTCAATCGTACCCAAAGCATAACTTGAATGACCTAGATATTCTTATGATAAATCTGTTTACCAAATTTCATTTCAGTTTGTGCAACCTCTGCGAAGAATATGAACGGAAACTGTTGTTGAACCGAGAGACCGACAGACAGACAGCAGCAAAGCAATATGCCCTCCCTTCTTCAAAGGGGGGCATAAAAATAATATCATTCTAATATACATCTTTCCATTTGTTGCAATGTTCTTCAGCTTCATACATATTTTACATTTCATCAACATGATTTCTCTGAATTGAAAATTTGTAATCTGTCTTTTTTCTTTCTCTCTAAATCACCTGGACCCATCAGCTGTGGACATTAAACATAACATCATGTACATGTCTAAAGCTCTTTCAGAGTAAAATTAATAGTGTTACATTTTCTTTGCCTAGCTCAACTGATTAAAAATGCCAGACTAGACATATATGATACCTATATCCAAACACGCTTGTAACATAACAGACAATTTATGTCAAAACAAACAAAGAAATCATTTCAGTTATGGCCCCCGTGTCAACTTTTGAGGTCAACTTTCATCTTTAAATGTTCAACATTTGATGTATGTACCTAGTATTTTAAAAATGTAAATTTCATTTTGAAATCAAAGTCAACAGACTCCAAAGATTTTACATGAACCATTTATCAAATTCAAATATCACTCTCAGATATAAATGTAAAATCGTCCATCTGCCATTGGAAATTGAGACATTTAACTTGCTAGTACACTATGATCCCCAAACAAACATTCAAAATGAAAACATTAAAAATATTTTTTCAATGTGTTAAAATGCTGTAAATGTTATCTTTTCTATCAAGTACACATTTTGAATAAGTATGCAGAATGTTTTTACTTGCCCACTAAGAGGAAAGATCAGATAAATGAATACACATTTTTGTACGACAGAGAGCATTTACATGAATTGAGATTTTGCTTTAAAAAATGAGGAAAATATAATTTACTCTTTCATTTTTTTTCTTATTACAATATAATGTTTATTTTAATGAAATCTAAAAAAAGGACAATTTAAGGTAAAAAATGAAAATGAATGATTATGAACTTGAATTATCTCACTGTTTGAAAATTCACATTGTTTATTCAAAATTAAAAGAAAAATATTTATGCAAGGTCATGCATGATAAATTTACGTTTCTTATTCATTAGTCCCAATTCAACATACTTGTATGCTAATAGACTGCAGTATGTCTTTGGAAGCATCAATTTTTAACATTATAATTAATAACATGATGATTCAGCATATACATTGTACATAATTATGACCAATGTTCGGAATTTGTAACAAGAGGCCCATGGGCCACATCGCTCACCTGAGTAACTTTGGCCATGCTGTTCTTTACCAGATTTCCCCCTTTTAATATACCTATTGTGGCCCCGCCCTACCCCTGGGGTCATGATTTGAACAATTTAGAATCTACACTACCTCAGGATGTTTCCAAATAGTTTCAGCTTTATTGGTCCAGTGGTTCTTGAAAAGAAGATTTTTAAAGATTTTTTAATATATTTCAATGTAAAACTTGGATTCCCTATTGTGGCCCCGCCCTACCCCCGGGGGTCATGATTTGAACAATTTATAATGTACACTACCCCAGGATGCTTCCATATAAGTTTCAGCTTTTCTGGCCCAGTGGTTCTTGAGAAGAAGATTTTTAAAGATTTTTCTTATGTATTTCAATGTAAAACTTGGATTCCCTATTATGGCCCCGCCCTACCCCCGGGGGTCATGATCTGAACAATTTGGAATTAACACTACCCCAGGATGCTTCCATATAAGTTTCAGCTTTTCTGTCCCAATGGTTCTTGAGAAGAAGATTTTTAAAGATTTTTCTTATGTATTTCAATGTAAAACTTGGATTCCCTAATGTGGCCCCGCCCTACCCCCGGAGGTCATGATTTTAACAATTTAGAATCTACACTATCCCAGGATGCTTCCATATAAGTTTCAGCTTTTCTGGCCCAGTGGTTCTTGAGAAGAAGATTTTTTAATGACCCCACCCTATTTTTGTCTTTTCTTGATTATCTCCCCTTGTAAGGGGACTTGGCCCTTTATTTTAACAATTTACACTCCCCTTCAACCAAGGATACTTTGTACCAAGTTTGGTTAAAATTGGCCAAGTGGTTCTTGAGAAGAAGCTGAAAATGTGAAAAGTTTACAGACGGACGGACAGACGGACAGACGGACGGACGGACGGACGGACAGATGGACGGACGACGGACAACGGGTGATCAGAAAAGCTCACTTGAGCTTTCAGCTCAGGTGAGCTAAAAATTAATGCAATGAAAAATACTGATAACATACAACGTACAATGGAGGCTTTTTAATTTGATTCAGAGATTTGAAGGTTTTGATCAAAATCAAGACTTGTTCAGTGATTATGTGTGCTCCTTAATTTTTATTCTGTCCGCTTCTTTCAAAAATTCTCTCTTAACTCAATTAAGTCAACCTGACAAGACTTTATACATGTGCAATTAAAAGTTTTTGAAATCACAAAGCATATAGACAGACACTGGGGGTTTATAAGTGCATATGAAGTGATGCTACAGGCAGATTTTCATGGAGTGGTGTCATATATCTATACTTAAAAAGTGTCATCAAGTACAAACTTCCTGTGTTACAGAGGCAATCTGGGCTAACACAACAATTTAATTAAGTAAAAGCATACAAGTTTCAAATCAGAAGAAAAGTACATCAAATTGCAATGCAGGGAGAATATGTGGATGGTTTTTACCAACAGTATTAAAAAATGAATGAAGAAATGTTTTATAAAGATTAACATAAATTAATATATTTAACATGTTTAAAGAAAATTAATCTTTTTATCCTTTTTTTTTTTTATTTTTAATTTTTTTTAATGTACAAAATCAGGGATACTGGGTGCTTATCTGTGCATAGGACTTTATTAGAGCAAATATGGTTATCTTATTTTTGTATTCAATGCAGCAACAGATGTTAAAAAGCATTTGACTTTACTGCAATCAAATTATCAACATATTTTTCCTCACAGATTGCATAAAATACTGCTTTGATCCATTACTAGATGGATATCTATGAATTTCTAACCATTATGCCAGCTAAAGACTGCCTGCCTGCATGATCATATAAATCTCTATTTCTCTCTCTCTCTCTCTCTCTAATCCCCTACTTTAAAATCCATCTCTGTCAATAATCTATATGTTCTGGTTGACAGATCGAGATGTCACAAAACACAATGTAGGAACAGATCAGCTGATCTTATCTAACACACCTCTTATTCTCTCATTCTGCGATACAAATCGGCTTTAATATACAGTATCACAGACACACCTGACAATCTTTCTATCTCTCATGTTTCTTGTCAGGTTAAAACATTCTTCTTTTTTACCTATCAATGATGTTACAGAATTGATAATCATTAAGTTAGGGTCCTGAAAGATGTTATTACAGGAGGGATTTAACTGTCTATTCAACAAGTCCCACATGTGCATTAGTTAGACTTAGTACAAAAATAGATACACGTATATGATTTTCTATATTTTTTTTAGCACTTTCATGTTACCAGTGTTACTGATAATGATGACATCATTTTAATGAAATATATGAAGATAATAACTAGTACGTAATCATGCTCATAAGTCCTTTGAAACAATATTTAATTGTCAGTAGAACAAATGCAGATAGTGGGATCAATTTTTTTTTTCAACATAATATATTAGATTTTCTATCTTTTCTTTGAGTATCATATAAAGGGAAATCCTAAATATGTGCCCAATCCAAAGTAAAATAGGATGTGTACAATGGCACAATATGATAAAAATTCTGTGAAAGTCTCATTAAATCTTATTGGGTGGTTTTAGAGGAACTGCCACGGATAAAAATGGCCCTGTACGCCCAATACATGTATTATAGATAAAGAATGGAAGCGTCCATGTTTTGTCCATGTTTTGCTCTGGGAAACCAATCTTAATTAATTAATATCCGTCCAATAAAAATTTTAAGTATGAGGTGCACAATGACACTACATGTATTTTATTCTGTGAAAGTCTCATTAAATTTTATTCAGTGGTAAGTAAGATGAAAATAAGGGATGGTTACAGTACCCCTAAGTGTGACAGATGGATGGATGGACATCCCTATCACTATTTATCCCTACTTTTCGGAGGGGGGGAGATCTACATAGTTCGTAATGAGGAGAATTATCTCAATGTCTGATTATGTTCAATAACTACATGCAGCTCATTAGACATGCAGGTTCTAAGTATTTTTAAGTACTTTAAACCAGAAACGTCTACATGTAACATATTACATAGTTAATAAAGGCTCACAGAAGTGTTCTCAGGGATTTAGACACAACATTGAAGTGTACAAAGATATACATACCCTATACCCTAACCAGTGCTCAATTAGAAAGCAAATTCCCTACATAGTACTAGTTGTCAAGCTAAAAGGTATAAAGTAAGCCACCTGCTGATAATAGCATAATTGATGTGTAAACACACAAAAAAAATGGAACACACAGAAAAAATAGTAATGACTTGTACACAAGCCATGTTTAAAAACAGCAGGTAGAGTGAGAGAACAGACCATTGTATCAAATTACCTTCTAATCCTTAGTCAAATTATTTCTATTGCAAATTGTGTCTGATTGAGTTATAATGCAAGAACGTTATAAGTTTATATTGCCTCTTCATTTTACAATTAGAAACCATACAGGTAACTTCTTTACAAGACATAAGAATATGTATCACATATTTACTCCTTTATGCAGCGGATATCTGTCATAATATTAACAATATAAATTTGTGACGTCACAATGGTTTTTGATTGAAAATGATGAAGTCAAATAAAGGCTTGGGGATAGAAAATTCACAACTCGTTGGATAAAAATCATAATCATACCCATGCAACCACAAAGCATTGGAGATCCTTTATATACAAATTTATCACTCTACTAGTCGTCATTATTACCATGCATCTTTCAATTACTTGCTCAAATATTTTTTGAAAGGATTTACTATGACTTCACACAGCCAGCTTTGGTATTAAATCTATCAGCAATAAAATTTACATAAAAGAAACAATATTTTCCCTATACATTCATACACAGTGTGCCGACTGAAAACTGCTTGCAAAATTGAATGCTCTCCTTTTTAAATACATATCCTGACCACAAGACATTTTCCAGAATACAATACAATGGGGAAATGCTATCAAGAAACTCGTGAAAGATGTGGGACTTTTTGAACATGAACTACCGGTAGCCTTCTCGGCTTTAATGAATATTTTAGAATGGTCAGGACTTTTTATATGAATTAAATTTTGTTTTGATTTTAATAATTCACCCTCTCTGACATGAAGAATACATTAACTTTCTGCATGCATAGAGGAATGAAAATCAAACTTATCATTAAATACTCATTAGCAAATAATTTTTTTTCAATTCATTAAATGTTGGTGTCCCAGTTTAAATATTTTGAAAATTTTCTTTGGCCAGCTGTGCTGCCATCAGACTTGTTGATCAGATTAGCACTTAGTGGTCAACCAAGTCATAAAAATCCAATTAAAGGCTTGTGGTCAACTAGTGCAGAATAAGAAAATCTCATTAAAACATGTTTAAATGGGATTAACTCTAACCCTACAGCAGTCAAAATAAAACTGGTAAAATTGTAATTTAAATTTTCCTATTTGAAAAACAACTTTAATGACACCCACAAAAAAGTAACTGCACCTTTTTTTTAGAGAAAGAAAAAAAAAAATATATAAAGAAAGGAATGGTTGAATGATATTTGAGAGTGGGAAGGGGAGGGTAATATTTTGTTAAGACTTTATGCAAATTTACACATGTATGCAATTATATGGAGTCCGACATGCACATATCATTGCATATAATTTTATTCGCAATAGGCTTAGTCACACCAACTTGAAATATTTCAGTAAAAATGTTCATCTATAACCTTATCCTATATAAACCTTTCCCTTTCTGTTTTTTTATTTAAATCATTGGCCCATAAATATGATGATTGTGAATTCTGTATTATTAAATATACCAAGTCTACTCTTATATATATTTAAACTGAACAAATATCATCCAAAACATGTACCCAAAAGGTGTCACCAATCTTGCCCTACTACATCCCTCTAGACATGTGAAGGACACAGTCAAAACATTGATTTACTGTACCGTGTGATGATCTATCCTTTGGCCTATAACCTTAGGAATCAATAAATCCAATATCTGTAATCAATATCTATCACTGTATACAGTTAATCAGGTCATGGTCTGAATTTAATACATGTACTACCTTGGTACAACTTTTTTCAGCCTGATAGAATTGTTCAACTTTCTTTTTAATACATACGTGGAAAAAGATTTAATTTTACATTGACAGAATCAGTGTTACTGTAGTGCAACATGTCACATTGATTCAATTCATTTATTCCTTCACTTATTCATTTAATAATGATGTCTGGCATTTTCAGCATGAAATATATATAAATGCTTACTGCTTAGTTTAAGAGACTATTATAAATTTTAAAATAAAGTTCTGTTTAATGTGGCAATCCCACTGCTTTCAAATGCAATTTCCTTCACACAGAGATTATCAATCCCTGTCATAAGCTCAGAATGTACAGAGTAAATTCGGGGAGTAAACCATGTCTCTCTTCATGTTTTCAAAGATGAGCAGTTAATCTCCTTAGGTATATTGTTATGAATTAGCCGAGGTAAGGACTACAATCCCTTAAAGATTACGATTCAGTGAATGCAGTGCTGTTCAATGCCTCATAATTCCTTTCTTAATGCATTGGATTTAAATGCAAGATTTCAACCAATGTCAACAAACAACATATCAGTATAAACATCTACATCAAGTTTTTAGCTTTTAGTTAGAGTTGACCACTTAAATTGAAGCTTAAATAAAATGATTCTATGTAGAAAAATATAACATGAAAGCAAGTATATTTACAAAACACATTCATATTGTCATATATAGACATAGTAATATACTGTGTTTTTCATGTGTTCACTATGTCTACTCCAGCAATATTCTGATAAGGAGTCAATAGTTTCTTGAAATAAGTGATATATACTTATTATAGAACAAGTATACACATTTTACTTGCAGTTTTATGTGAAACTGCAGAACTTCATCTAACATGTCCACTGTTGTGAAGAAGTGCTAATTAAAGTGGATTTCTGACAATGTGTGCTGTCAAATTAGACTTTTATCATATTATATATAATCAAATCAGACATAAAATGATTTTTATCTACATGACCTCTGAGACAGATGTAAAAGAGCATTCAGAAAATAAAACCACATTCATTCTTAGAACGATCCAACCAACTCATTAGATCTGAAATATGAATATTGTGTCGTCTTTTTGCCTACGTTCACATACACTTTCATAAAAATCTGCACACAACTATATATTTTAGTATCTTGATAAAATACAATAAACAAAATTATAAGCGCATAACTGTAGGGGGTTAAAACTTAAAAGTAGGCAATGAATGTAAAAGATGAATATTATCATCCACCTACTGTAACACATCCTTGAGAGGTACTTTCTAGGGATTCAAAGTAAAATTCCGACGGAATTTCAATAAAATGAAATACAAATACACTGACTGAAAATTTATGTAAATTATTCACTTAAGCCCCAGACTCTTTTATCCCTTAATTGATAAACACTTTGCATCTGTGTACTCATTACAAAAACTTACGTGAATTTCTGTCGTGAAGTCAGTGCCATCCAGTAGCATGACTGTGCACTGGACCGCATTTTTCCTCTTCACTGTATGCCCTCCGTGATCTATGTGGTCCGATTTCACCCCTCTCCCTGTTCGTCGCCGACTGAGAAAGCGAAAGAATTTTGACATTTTCTTGGACGAATGTCGGTCGTCGTGTCAGCGAAACATAATTTTACACACAGGCCATTGTCAACTCATTTTCCATTCATGTTAAAAACCCTAATGTACTCTAGAAAAAGACAGTTATGAGTCATTTGTCGCCTGGATTTATTGTTTTGCTGCGATCGTCTTCCTGTTAAATTTCCGATTCGCGGCGGAATCAATCGATCAATTTCGGAAACTTCCGGTTTATGAATATCGGAAATTCTCTTCCCCGGATAAAAGTGGAAATATTTTTTTAACATCGGGATCGGAGTTTATGTTGCACGTGTTATGCAAAATGTCAACATTCAATGGCAAAGCGTAAAAGACGAAACTGATAAGTACTGGTAACTGCAGGACACATTAATAATGTCTGCTTTGTACAGCACAAGTCCAGCATTTGTCAAATTCGGTATCACACCACTCGACTATGAATGAAAACGAGGCAATTCGAACTGAATGTATGTAGGTTTAGTTCTTTAATCAACAAAACCTGATCTTTTGTAAACACTGACAGGCATATGAAATTTAAGAAATAAGTTGCAAATAAAGCCCTAGATAAAACAATCAAACCCGTTCTATGTATAAAGGGGGATATGATCTAAGGCTTTATAATTATTTACAACTTATGATAAAATTTCATGTGCCTGTTTTCTAACCATGTCATCTGGAATCCTAATTTCAACACACCATTAACAGGCAGAAGTCCTATTGTGACTAGAACTGTGTTGACTCTTTGGTGAAGGCGACAATTAAGTTTGTTATACCTTTAAAAATTGATTCCTATATAATTCTATACTAAAAAAAGTCTAACATATCCAATGTTTTACTGAGCAGTCATAAAAAATGGATGTTTGGCTGCAGAGCAAGATATTGGACCTGTCGATGAGATGTTGGACCACTTACGTCACAGTGTTGGTGGGGTCAGCTGTATCTAATTTGAATTCATTGGAGTTCGACAGAAGTTTACAGAATTGACAGTTTTAACCGCAGTGCGGGAAACAAAATTTACATCATGTTATGTCCAAATAAAAAGTAAAAGGTATAACAAAACATTTATTGACTGTGTTCTCAGGCAAAATGTGTTTTGTCGACCCCTCTAACCAAACTGTTTGCCTTCGGCCTAATGGCCTCAGGCAAACAGTTTGGTTCTTGGGTCAGACAAAATGCATGTTGCCCTCGAACCCAGTCAATAAATGTATAATATATACCCTATACCTTTGGTCCTTGGCAAATTTTCAATGTATTACTCTCTGAGGTCAAAGAAACCTTTGAGGCCAAGCTAGAGGAAATGAATAAGATAACAATATGTGACCATAAATTTAAATTTAAATCCTTCTCTAATTTAGCCAGGAGACTCAGAGGGGGCAGCACTTGTACTTGGTTTTAGCTGTGCTGCTCAGGCCTTTCAAAATTTGCCAGTACCCATTAACTTTTACTTGGCTGTAATCATGATCATTGTACAAGCCAAAATATTCATTGGAGAAAAAATTGATAACATATAAGCAACATTTTTAGCGAGGATTCAATTTTGGCATTATTATCGAGGGTTTTGAGATCGCTAAAATTAAATATCGCTAACAATTTATTTGGTATTGGTTGTTATAGATATCTTTCTGGACATTTTAAAATTGCTAAAATTATTTCTTGCTAAAATTTTATACCAAGAGCTAGGTTCACTTTATGCATAAAATGGCCCTGTTGATAAACCAATTTATCCACTAACACAATATGTTCCTTTCTCAATATCAATATAAAGTAGAGACTTGGCGCTTTCAGTTTGTATATAAAAGTTTCCTCTAAAGAGTCCAGATACTGGAAAACACATTGTGTGAAATTGCAATGTTCTTGAATTTTGCAGAAAACAGGTGAATTTGAGAACATTCAAGAATGAATGTAAAATATGAGCACACCCCTCGATCCAAAAATTAAAGTATGTTTTATATCTTAATGAGCAGTTCTTTCATAATATATTTGCACATTTTGGATCGAAGGTTGTGCTCTATACGAGATATTGAAAAATAGTATCATATTTTGACCATTTCTGAAGAAATATACGAGATATGTGAATAATGATGCAATTCATGACATCATAATGCATTAACTAGCAAGAAAATTACGTCATTTTTAGTAGAAATTCAGTCACCAAGTGTTCAAGTGATATTTATTTCCTTGTCAACTAAATTAAACTATGCAGTTTTAATTTTTCAAAAATTTACAGGCCCTAAGTGGCCCTTGCTCTTTCTGGGATTAATTGCTAAATTTGTGTCTCACTAAAATTCCACTTATACGGTAACATATTTAAATGAAATCACTTCTAATTTTGTAAAAGTACCATCTGTTTCTATTCTATTTGAAAGCTCTGGCTGCTTAGTGGATGAGAATCACTGAACATCACAAGTTAATTACCTTCATTTACTGGCCAAACACTCATGTTGTGGGTTTCCATAACTGAGTAGTGGTTTTGGATATATCACCATGATCAAGGACCATAGATATCTCGGTGTTTAGAGAATCTAAACAGTAATGCAGGAATCTCGATCCAGCAATGTCCTTTCCTGTAACTTAATTGCTAACTCCCAAAATGATACACTTTAATGATATAATATTTACATCCACTGAATATTTTTGCCAATTTTACTTATGAAAACCATTTTCCTTAATCAATCTATTAGTACTTAACTAGTTGGAACTGATTTTTCAAGGCCACCTTTATGAAAGATTTCTTAAGCAGTTGGCTCTTCCATCAATGAAATCGTACAGATCAATATTTACATTTAATTTATTTTACTTAATTAAACCTATTTTATACAATTATTAATAAACAGACATAAATGTCTTTCTTTCTTTGTTATAAATGCAGGATTAATTGTTGCAACCATTGCAGAAACAATTCACATTAAATGTTACCCCTTCATGCATTTTGTATTTTTTTCTGCAATAGTCATGATAGGTGCAACCTTTAATTTGCACATTCATTTTTTTTTTTTTAATTAGGGTTTTTTATCTTCACCATTCAGGCAGTATTTGGGGAACATTAACATTTTTATGTACAAATAAAAAAGGTAAATTCAGAAATCAGGACTTTTCATTAAATTCAGACAATTTTCTCAGGTGCACGTGTCTGGGTTGACTTTAGTGGATTGAAATACCATATAAGCGGAATTTTTAAGTGAGATGCAAATTTAGTGATTTTTCCTAAAAAGTAGGTACCGTATTTAATTTTAGCAAGAATTAATTTTTAGCAATTTTATGAAACAGAGAAAGACAAGGGTAACCTCCGATGTGGAATGAATTGTTAACAATATTAAATTTCGGTCACTCAGATCTCAACAAACTCACTAAAAAATGCCAAATTTGAATCCTTGCAAAAATTTCTTCTTGTACATGTTATACAATATGTTTTATTCTTTTTATGTGTACATCTTTAAAACCATTATTAATATTAGTGTTAGAAAGTTTGATTGAATTAGCTTTCAAGAAAAAATACTGTACTTGTAATTATTATAAATTTCAATAAACTTCAGAATTTGCAGTACCACACTATGAGCAGAGTCTGGAGAGCAGTGAACAGATTAGCTGGCAAGTTTGACAGAAAAGCTAAGGGATTCAAAAATGGCAAGGTAAATATATAGGACATTCATATTTCCCTGCAAATAATTTATAATTTTTACTATGTGTACCAGCATATTAACCATTTCAATATGAAGTGACCTTGCCCCAAAAGGCACCACTTATTTTCAGTCTAATAAAAGAATATTAAGAAATAATTCCTTCTATAAAGTTAAGGAATATTACTAATACATGTAATAGATTTTTAATTCATTCAGCTTGCATGAAAGTTGTAGCTATTTCTGAGGAAAGGTAACATTTTACCATAGGCACTTGTTTCTGTAATAAAAGTTAACCCCATAGTATTATAATAACACAAGGTATCTATATGTAACTCCAAATTACATGGATTATGACCCTCCCCAAGAATTGCAGTTATTTTTGCTTTCAGAGAAAATGCAGTGGAAAAGTGTTTACAACCACTTTCTTCTATAATAATTTTTCTACATAACCATGTATTACTTACTTGTCTTTATTGTCCTTTTCTTGCATAATCTGCATCCAAACATTGCTTGCCAACTGGAAAATGGAACATTGAGAGCATTGTGGGCTATGGGCCTCTTGTTCCAATTATGGCTGTACATGTAAATATTTATTTTTTTTTAGGGATGGCCAGTCTATTTTGTGATGCCTGCTACATTTCTTGGATCATTCTTCATTCCGAAGTCATTCATTCAAAGTCTTATTAAGAAACGATATGGCTTAATGAATGATGAAGATATAAATGAGATCCCAGAGGAAACTAGGACTCTTCTGCAAGAAGTAAGATTATTTACTCACGGAAAATGGGTCTTACATTGTTAAGTCAAATTTAATTTAAAACCAAAGATATTAATTACTAGTAAGAATTTTCACCCATATTTTACCTTGTTTTATTTTCTTCCCTTTCTTAATTGCAAGTGGGTGAATTTAAAATGGGGCGAATTTAAAGAAGACAGCTGCATTATATCAGAAGCAGAGTTAAGGCTTGGAAAAAATGGGGGAAAATTGTTTGTGAAAGGGGGAAACATGGGGCAAAAATATCCCTGTGTACAGTAATGGTAGTCATTGAGTGAGAGAGATCAATGACTTCATGAAAATGATACATTATAGTCTAACTTTGGTATCTTCAACTTAATTGGCCCAAAAATAAACTTAAAGATGTTTGAGGATTCCAGATATTGAGAAGATCCAGAAGAAATGGTTTGGGCCTGGATATCGGCCTGGGTAGCTCAATTGGTTTAGCACCTGACTAGTGATGCAGGGATCTCAGGTTCGATTCCTGGTTCAGCCATACATTTTCTCCTTTTCTGTTACAACATAAAATATTGAGGTCATGTTCCTATTAGCATGATTAGTCTTAGCTGCAGGCTTAACCCTATAGCTCAATTAGTAGTCTAGTAGAGATTTTAAATTTGAAGGATGTTGGTTCAAACCACTTTTTGAATTCCTCCTCCTCAGCTAATTGGCCAAAAATAAAAGGGTTAAGGTATGTCACTCGTGAAATTTGTTATATCAAGGATTTTTTGAGAAGTATATTTTGGATAAGTACTCATATAGTATGACTCAAAATCGCAGAGAAAATGGGGGGTCAGTGTGCATCTAACTGAGCTACGGTACAATTAAGTTGACCTTTTTGCACTTAAATTGTAACTCTTTGGTTAATCACTTTAACCGTTATCATATTTTATAAGATGTAACCATGGCAATAAACATAATCTTATTTTATGTAAAATAGTTTGAATAATATTGATCATTGAACAAATCATGCAAATTAATGCACGTAAATTATTGTGTGACCTTTTTGCACTAAAAAAGTCTCATATTTGGGGTATCAAAAATCTAAATAGGCAATAGAATATTTTCTTATATCAAACTTTTTACGACTTTAGTGCTGATCGGTCAAAAGTATCGAGTAGTTTAAAATAATGAAAGAAAAAGTTGGGGTCAGTGATGTAAATTTTGAAATATTGGTCAAAATATGCGATTTTCAGGCAAAAAACTGTGTAAATTTTATCTCGACTTCCTTAATATATCTTCATTTCTTGGCAATGTTTGTTGAGTGAAGGTGTAAATTTTGTTATAAAAATATAAATTGAGACCTATATTTAATATTTCAGGCATATCATAACGGAAAATATTCTCTGAGTAAAAGTATGTGAGGCTAAAGTTCCAAGATATTAAATTTAATAAATGTGTAGATTTGCAGAATTTTCTCCTAAATATCCTTCCGCCACAAGAAATAGTCCCTTATAAATCTTGCTTCTTTGTGAATTTTTGAGCAGTTTTTTAATTGAATGTTGAACATTTTACGTTGTTAAACTTAAATATGTTATAAAGATTGAATTGTAATAAATAGTTTTTAAGTAAGAGGTTCTGACTGAAATTTTCTAAAAGGCTGACGAGTGACATACCTTAAGCTATGAGAACTGTAATATTATCTTATTTGATTTGGATGAAGAGAAAGTTGGAAATCACAAGGTCTAGGGTTTAAAAAAGAATGAGTGCTGTATACAGGGTTATTTCTCCCTTTTACACTTCCAAAAAATTTCATCCTGGTTTAAATTCACCAAGACTCAGTTTTGTTAAAGATTTCATACATTCTTTCTTGAATTCACTTTATGTTAAATTGGCCCATTAGACAAATGAGGCAAAAATAAAACAGGGCCAAAATTTCCCTGTATACTCAATGTATATGCTCTTCTTTTTTTACAGGTGTTAAAGGACTTGAAGGAATCAGAAATGAATTTTCCTGTCAAGCTTTTGGATTACCCCTCGCAAGACCTAGCTCTCTACAAATGTAAAGGAGATGAGATTGTCATACACAGACTTGTTGATATTAGATCTGTGGCTTTAAGAGTGTTAATAGGAATCCCTCCACACCTGTTAAATACCACCCCAGGTGAACAATCCATTCAGAATTCACCAGCTTTTACTGGAAATCCCTCTGAGACTTCATTTAGCTCACCCAGTTTTATGCAGCCATCTTCTTCACTTTCTCAACTGAAAGAAAATGAATCATCAGATTTGTTGAAAAATGTGAACTCCCCCATTTCTTCTTCAAAGTCAACAAACTCATCTATAGGGACCTTGAAGGACTCTTTTGTAGAAAAAGAAAATTACTCTCAAAGAGAAGTGGAACAAGAAGAAAGTGAAAAATCTGAGATTCTTGACTGTCTGTCGGATATTTCCAGATGGGAGAAAAAATTTGTGATTCTTCGAGAAATATTGTTATCAAGACAGCATTTCAGAGAAGAGGCTGTGTTTTATATAATTTTGATATTTTTTATTTTGTCTTCCTATTTGGCACCTTTATACTACACACTGATTTATTTGAATATCCTCACTGTCAATGGTTTGATTTTAAAATATCATAGGTGTAATGGTAAAGTAATTAGGAGGAGAGGTCATGAACAAGCGTTCAAAATCCTCACGTCGAGTGAGCTCAAAAATCATTCTAACTATGTAATGGCCGGCAGAAAATACTGCATGAGGAAACTTAAACAAAACTGTAATATGTACAAACTTCAGAGAAGGAAGGCCGAAAACTCTCTCAAGGACAAATTCCAGTTGCTTGTGAATGTTGCTTTCCATCGCTTTGTACCAAACTGTGAAAATGTGTACAACTGTGCTGGAGGGATTAGAGCTTGGCCCGTAAACTATTTCAACAACGATTTCTTTTGGGCTTACCGCATGCAGAAACATGTGAAAGAGTTAAACAGTATAACTGAGAAATAGGTGAAACATAAATAGATTTAATTGATTTACACAAGGTTGTACTTGAGGAAATTGGAAGACAAATATTAAAAAAGAAAAAAAAAACTATTTACTGCAGCTTTTATTTTTTTTTTTGAGATGAAGACTTAAGGTTTGCTGACCCTCTGAATGAAGAGAGATAACTCTCACAGAAATTATTCCCTTTATCAAGAGGCCCATGGGCCACAAAGCTCACCTGAGCACTTTGACTAGGAAAAAGCAAGAATCATTTCAGTATTGAAAAGATTAAATAAAAATATGGTTCTGAAATTTAATCTTCTATTGAGGCCTTGCTGACCTACCTCCAGGGACATGATCTGAACAAATTTGAAACTACACTACCAGAGGATGCCATCTATATTAATATGACTACACAAGACTTTGCTGTTCTTGAGAACAAGATTTTTATGCCCCCGTAATCGAAGATTCTGGGGCATATAGTATTTGCCCTGTCTGTCTGTCTACCTGTCTGTTTGTCCACAAAAACTTTAACCTTGCCCATAACTTTTGATTGGTTGAAGCTTTCATATTTCACATGTGTATTCTGTGTGACAAGACCTTTTTTGAGTACCATCATATTGACCTGACTTTGGACCATTTTTGCAAAATTTTATGAGATTTTAACCTTGGCTTAACTTTTGAACAGTTGGTACTTGTGCTTTCAAACTTCACAAGTGTATTCCTTGTGACAAGACCTTCCTTTGGACACCAACAACTTTTACCCTTTAACCTTGACCTTGGAGTTTGACCTACTGTTGAAAAAACATTAACCTTGGCCTGACTTTTAAACAGTTTGTGGTAGGGCTTTCCTATTTCACATGTGTATTTCTTGTGACAAGACCTACCTTAGGATACCAACAAGTTTGACCTTTTGACCTTGACCGTGGAGTTTGACCTACTTTAATTTTGAAAAATTCTAACCTTGGCCATGACTTTTGATCAGTTAGTGCTAGGATTTTTATCCCCCGAGATCGAAAGATCCCGGGGGTATATTGTTTTTGTCCTGTTTGTCTGTCTGTTGTCAACTTTAACCTTGCCCATAACTTTTGATTGGTTGGAGCTATGACTTCCATATTTCACATGTGTATTCCTTGTGACAAGACCTTTCTTTGGGTACCATCATATTTGACCTTGACCTTGGAGTTTGACCCACTTTGGCAAAATTTTATGAGACTATAACAGACCTGTTTACCCAAGTTGTTGTCGCTCAGTATTTTTTATTAGATTTGTCAGTGAGATTTGGCATTTGCCCGTAAGATTTCACGTTTCATCAACTGTACATATTACTAGAAAACAACTACATTTCTGATTACCAAATCATGGTTTATTAACAAAGCAAAACATCATACACTGCTTTCTTTTGAGTGATTTCTGTCATTTTCTTTTTAACCACCGCGTTTTGGAATTTAAATGTTTGAAATTTTTCTCTTTTTTAGCGATTTAAAAGCGTCAAACTGAGACAGATAACGAGAACTAATTGCTAAAATTCATATGAACGGATTTCCGTATTTTCATTATAGCAAAACGTGAGACGTATTTTGGACTGAAAATCCATAAAAAATACAGCGAAATAGTAAGAGTAAACAGGTCTGCTATAACCTTGGCCATAACATCTGAACAGTTGGTGCTTGGGGTTTCAAACTTCACATGTGTATTTTTTGTGAGAAGGCCTTCCTTTGGATACCAACAACTTTGACCTTTCGACCTTGACCTTGGAGTTTGACCTACTTTTAAAAAACTTTAACCTTGGCCATAACTTTTGAACAGTTGGTGCTTTGGGTTTAAAACTTAACATGTGTATTCCTTGTGACAAGACCTTCCTCCAGATATCAACTTCTTTGACCCTTTGACCTTGACCTAGGAGTTTGACCTATTTTTGAAAAACTATAACATTGGCCATAGCGTTTGAATGGTTGGAGCTAGGACTGTCATACTTCACATATGTGATCCTTGTGACAAGACCTTTTTCTGGATACCAGCCACTTTGACCTTTTGACCTTGGAGTTTGACCTACTTTTGAAAAACTTTAACCTTGGCCATAACTTTTAAACAGTTGGTGCTAGGGCTTTCATTCTTCACATATGTAATCCTTGTGACATCACTTCCTTTGGATACCAACCACTTTGACCCTTTGACCTTGACATAGGAGTTTGACCTACTTTCGAAAAACTTTAACCTTGGTCTTAACTTTTGAATGGTTGGTGCTAGGGCTTTCATACTTCACATATGTAATCCTTGTGACAAGACCTTCCTTTGGATACCAACCACTTTGACCTTGACCTTGATGTTTTACTTACTTTTAAAAAACTTTAACCTTTGCCATAACTTTTGAACAGTTGCAGCTAGGTCTTTCAAATTTCACAGGTATATTCCTCGAGACAAGACCTTTCTTTGGGTACTAACATTTTTTATCTTTTGGCCTGGATTTTGACTTCCATTTGAGAAATTTTAACCTTTCGCCATAAGCTGCCATACGGGGGGCATCAGTGTTTCACAAACGCATCTTGTTCATACTTCACATGACAAGACCTTCCTTAGGATACCAACAACTTTGACCCTTTGACCTTGGAGTTTGACCTACTGTTGAAAAAACTTTAACATTGGCCATAACTTTTAAACAGTTGGTGCTTGGGCTTTCAAACTTTACATATGCATTCCTTGTGACAAGACCTTCCTTAGGATACCAACAACTTTGACCCTTTGACCTTGGAGTTTGACCTACTGTTGAAAAACTTTAACCTTGGCCATAACTTTTAAACAGTTGGTGTTAGGGCTTTCATACTTTACATATGCATTCCTTGTGACAAGACCTTACTTTAGATACCAACAATTTTGACCTTGGAGTTCGACCTACTTATAAAAAAAAATTAACCTTGGGCATAACATTTGAAGGCTTTCACATTTCAGCTTTACAAAAGAACATACATGTATATAGGAAATATCTTTAAAAATCTTCTTCTCAAGAACAACAAGGTCATGATTAGTTAGTCGTATTGATAGGGAAGCATCCTCAGGTGGTGTAAATTCAAGTTTGTTCAAATCATGAAAAATGACTTTCCCACATACAACACATGTAGTTATATTCAAATGTTAATCTCTTAACCTAATTAAAGATTTAACAAAACTAAAGAAAATTTTACAAAATGCCCTGGAACTTGCAAGATTTTAAGGTACCCTGAAATGGTTATTTTTGTAAATTGTCTAGTTCTTGTGACTTTGAAAAAATTGACACAACTGAAACAGGTCACTTTTCATTTGACATTGAAGCCATTCAACTGAATGAAACTGATTGAATTTAATGAAAAATATGTTATTTAGGTATTAAAAAAAAGTCTTTACTAAAAACTGTAAGGCATTTTGATTCCACAGAGCTACAATTTTGTGATTTGTTTCAACTGGGTACCAAATTGCAATTATTGTTTTAACATCATGCTATAGGTGCGTGCCTTGTGACAAATTCTTAAATCAGTGATCTGATAATTTTTTCAATATTGGTTTAATTTTGTGGAAAAATGATAAATTATGAACACAGTAAAATTAAAACCAGCATGTTAACTTCCCATTCTACAGTATGCCCCTGACCATAGAAAGTCACCATATTACCAACTGGGTACCAAATTGCAATTATTGTTTTAACATCATGCTATAGGTGCGTGCCTTGTGACAAATTCTTAAATCAGTGATCTGATAATTTTTTCAGTATTGGTTTAATTTTGTGGAAAAATGATAAATTATGAACACAGTCAAATTAAAACCAGCATGTTAACTTCCCATTCTACAGTATGCCCCTGACCATAGAAAGTCACCATATTACATGTAGTAATACATGTATGTGTATAATGAAAAAAAATTATCTATTTTGATATTTATTTTATTGCAACAGTCTGAAGCACTTAAATTAACTACAAAAACATCTGAATGGGTTAAAAGCATTCCAGTCATTTGATGTTCACTCCTCCGCTATGAAATGTCTTATCCAAGAAGGAACCTCTTTACTGCTCCGGGAAAACCGCCCTTCCCCTGGGGTTCCGTGTAGAAGTACTGATCCCTCCTCTGTTAAAATGAAAACGGAATCAAATTTTTGAAAAAAAATATTCAAAGATAATGTTTAATTTTAATTGGTATAGAAGAATCAGAATTAATTATTTTATATTTATAATAATTTATGTGTTTACTGCAACATGGACTACTTTAAGAAGCACATTGGTCATACATGTATCTATGCAAATTCATATTTTAGCAGTGATTATGCTTCAGACAGCAGAAAAGGCACTAAAATATGCACATAAATATGTACAGTAAACTAAAATTGTCCATATTCTAAATTAGTCTACTCACTCTGTAATAGTCATTAAATACATAAGTCTCTTCTGGAGTGAATTGGATCTGAGGAATGTCTACCAGGCATTTAGGGTGGCGATTGTACAAGTCTCGAGCTGGATGGTCGGCCCTGAAAAATTTATCAAATTTGTTATTATTTATTATTAAAAAAAAAGAATTTGAATGGTGCTGAGAAGCATGATTCATGGAATATATGAAACTATGCAATGCATATTGCTCTCTGAAAAAAGCATTTGTATAACATTATGGAAGCATTAAAGCATTGAATTATTTTTTTTTTTAAATTGCCACAGTATGTGCTAAGTAAACAAACTCATTAATGCCCAGTGTAAAAATCTGTTTCCTCCCACAGCATTGCAGTTATGAGTTTCTAATGTTTCTCCATTTCAAAGTTGTGGTCAGAATAGTAAAAGAACACTTTTGCAGCCTAAAACATTGCCCTTACCTAAATGACCTTGATACAGTCAAGATACAGGTCACAAGCAACCTTTCTTCTAATATGAGCTTTTAAAGTTTCATCAATCAACTCACTTTCGAACATGACCAGACAAGCAATTTAGTTGTCATATTCCTGTCACAGAAGTATTGCACATGTACAACAAAAACTTGCCAAATTCTTTTTCTTTTTTTTTAAATTTGACATATCAATCTGAAATATTACTAGGTGCATATATAGGCTTAAATGGTATATGTTTCATTCCTATAAAGTCTGAAAAAAGAAAGTGAACAGTTTTAAAGATAATCTGAAGGCAAAAAGATAGGCAAACAGACAAGGTGTTCAAGTTTGCAGTCTGAGTATAGTGATGGTATTTAGTCCTCTGGGAATATAGTACCGTGCAAATTGCAAAGCGCAACAGCCGCCCCCCCCCCCCCCCTTTTGTCTCTTGGGTTCTGCTGGTAGTGTGGGGCTGTTTAAAATCAAATCTTAGCATTGAACTCAATATACATGTACTAGTAAGGGATACATACCATCGCCTCCAATCTGCCCAGCTTCTCTCGTGAACGTGTCTCCAGTGGAGGAACTTGTCGTCCCTCAGCAGCGTATCCTTAAAAGGGTTGAAGTCAATCTTTTCCAGTTCCTCCACTAGCTACAAAATAAAAACAGAGCACAGCTCAGGAGTCTAGTTAATTAAAAGGCCTTTTACTTTTAGGCAGGCATAGGTACAATTACTTTGAAATGCAATACAGTTGAACTTCCGTATCTTGAACACTGATATTTCGAATACCATGGATTGGAAGTCCCAACTACTTATTCTTTATTAAGTATTTTACCCTCTATATCTCGAATCCTCAGATACCTTGAAAGTTTTATTCTTGGTCCCTTTGAGTTCGAGATTACAAGGTTTGACTGTACTTGTATTGAACAGTTTTAGGTCAAGAAGAGAGAATCCAAAGAATTGTTGAAAAGCAAGGAAGACAATATGAGGGAGTGTTAACATGGTTACACATGCATTCAAGGGAACAACAAAATGATGGTGAAGCCAATTATGCTCTCTCGTGTACATATATAATCTCACTTTCATTTTCTCCATATTTCACATTCTCTTCATCATGTTCATGTTCTTGCTCTCTCATCTTATAGGTAAAATACAAAAGACCTTCTTTCTCTATACACGTAGTCCATGATTGCTATTTTTCCTAAGAAGTAAATCTAGTAACTGAATCAATAAGTGCATGATCCATGCATGATTGGTCCTGGTGGGCATACAGTTATTTGGAAAATGGACCTGCTCCACCAAAAAAAAAATCTGGAATGCCTACAGACTACAGCAATGCCAAAATGTGGAATAGTACATACATGTATGTTGTCCCCAATTGTGTGGCATGTTAAAATTTTATTAAGGAATAAAGTACAAAGAAACTTGTCTAAACCAGATGTTGTGTATTCAGAAATCTTGCCTAATACGGTCTAAACTTTAAGTCTCTTTCAGTTAAATACAATTGTTTAAATGTTGCCTATTCTGGAATGGTTTCTATTTTCAGGCCAATTTCTTTGGAACCAGTGAAGTTAGTTAAGTAATCAAGTCATTCCATTTCCAGGTTTCAATGGTTTTGGCCAGACAAAAGGTTTCATAGCTCAACATCTGCAGTGATAATTAACTTTACAATGTGACCAAGAATCAAATTCAACATGATCAAGATACACTGCCTATGTAACAACCCCTATAATCAAGATAATCTCATGTCTTTTAAGGTTAGGGCACAAGGTAAAATCTTAAGACAAAGAAATATTTTGAAATTTTTGACCAGGCAAACAGATCAATAGCAAGACAAATAGACTACAAGCACTTCACAATTTTGCCTCAGCTCTTCTGATTTTTGATCAGTTGAGCTGAAAACAATATTCTACAATCCTTGATCTTGGGGAGTGTTGAAACAGTGAAGAATCAATTTCTTCTGCTTTACTTCAATGAATGACTCACCAAATCAAAGTCTGGTAGATTATCAGCATCTAGAACCATTATTTCTGAGTATGGTCTGAAAGAAATTAAGAGATTCTAAATTTCTAATATCTACTGTTAAACTGCAGGTAGAGTAAACCTACCTACACCACATCAGGATGTATCTTATTTAATGAATATAGAATCTCCCATGGTTTGCATTTGGATATGATTTGTTATCCAATGAGTTGTGTGTTTTATCCCCGAGCTTTGGCAAGGGGATAAAAACACGCAACGAGTTGGATAACAAATCATATCTAACCACACACCATGGGAGATTCTTTTCATCACACGTTTTACACACAGCTATTCCATGTTTTACACTGTTTTATATATATGTTAATCCAAAATATTTGACTTGGTCAAATTCAGTCAAAAACCATTGTGACGTCACAACCTTGGATATGAAAACGATATCCTATGAGCTATATCCACTGTATAAAGGACTTAACATGTGATAAAAGACAGAACTTACTCCAGTTTGGGTAACACTTTCTTCTCATATCCTTCAGCATTGAGTGCCAGGAAATCTTCATTTAATATGGGGCTGTTCATCTCAAACGGCTGAAAAATAAATCACAAGTCACTTCATGATTAAAGCCCGGAATTAAACATTTCTTTGTTTCTACCTTACAATGGAACTCAAAGGACAGGCCTCAGATCCATTTTTTTCTCCATTTGCTGGTAACTTGATACCCATTTTCAAAAACTTTCGCATGCTTTGCTATATATACATGTAAACAATGTTGAATCATCACCTCATAATGAATTATCTTCTGGTTTTCAAATATATAAACTTCCCATTCAGCAAATTTTCATGATTTACATACATACATCGACTGATAACAAGTGCTTTCTTAACTGGATCTACTTCCAAATCTTAACATTTAATGGAACAGATTTCTACTTTGTTTGAATGACCATGTTGATGAAGGAATAAGAAAATTCTTATTTTTCTTTCTTGTGAAAAAAAAAAAAAATCAAAATCTATCCATGAAATCCATTTAGTACATAATTTTTTTACCAGATGTAAAAATGTATCCTCCTTCGAACCTATTTATTGGAGGGGGGGGGGGGTCATCATGTTAAAGAGAAGAAATACCTGCCCAATCTATCTTACCACATTTCTCTCCTTGATCTTTTTCATGCAGTAGGCTGGAGTGGCATCCAGGTAAATGGCCAAATGTGGAGCCCAAAGATAATAAAACGAACGGTCCACGTAAGCCTCGAATTCTTCATACACTAAAAATAGACCATCAACAAAAAAGATCAACCATAATAACTACTTAAGATAACTTGATAATCAGAATTTTTATAATTGTCAGTGTGAGGGAGGAGGGACATTCCTCCAGGAGAAAAATACCACATATCTGACAGTGTATATTTTTCATAGATTAGTTCATGTTGTTGCAACTTAAATAGGCTATATGGTAAGAGAAATTGACCAAGTTCACATAATAAATCAGGTGAATTTCATTCAGTTTTCAACAATGCATACTGTAAACAAACTTTTATTTATAATATCTGCAAGTTTTGCAACATTGCTTTACTGGTGAATCTCTCTCATTGCAAACAATTTATTTCATTGTGTATTTATGTAGAATATTTCCTCAGTCAGAAAATTTAGTTTTGGTGGATAGATTCCAAACTGACAAATCATAAATAAAAGTCGCCACAAAAAATAGTTGGTATACAGTATATGTGTTGAGATTGTCCAACAATCAAGGTCAGGCATACATCACCTCATTGTTTGTGAGCAACATTCCTAAGTCCAATCATTCATATGAGTTATATCATGTACAATGTATCATACACTAATACCATTTTCATCTGTTCATCAAATAAATTGTAACTTAAATTAAAGCTACCTTTCAGGCATTCTCAAACCAAAGCCTTTTTTAATTCCACTTAGAAAATGGCATTTTCCAAGTAAAATTATACCAGTACATGTACTTCCATCAAGATTTATCATGTTTATTGTATTATTTAGTAAATAAATTTGTAGATCTCTCTAAATCACATTTTTCCCTTCAAAAGTACAAATGTGAAATATAAGTAAGGTTAAAACATTTTTGTTACCTCTTTTATTGTATAGTTTCTTTTTCAACATGGCATAACAGAAGGCCATGTCACTGTATAAATTTCTTGACAGGACCACTCCTTGTCCTGAAAAAAAGAAAAATAACAATCAAACATTACTATTATTATACTCTCTAATGTTTATCAAATGACAGTTATGTACAAATGTATGACTATAAATGCATCACTTAGTTACATTGTCATGTTGTGATGGAAACAGGATGACACCTAGTAAATTTCATACCAAGAGAGGCAAAATCTATAATACACATGGTTTATTTTGGGGAAAAAAAAAGATTGATAGCATTTTTGCAATTGGGAATTGAGCAAAAATTTGACACTACATAGGGCATTGGAAAATCCCTAATTATCTTTATAAGCTGCTATAAGAACCACATCAAATGCAAAAGTTTAGACAAAATCTTTTTCTGTGAACAAGCATCATGGGCAGAAGAAAAATTCACACAATTAGTTCATTTTGTGAGCAATTTTCTCTCTTTGGAAACTGAATTTCCTGACATATCATGGCTCTGCTACTTACCATTTCTACATTCTACTCTGCAGTCAATTATCAATTTTTTCTTTTATCAAACACTAGGGGTGGGATGATATACCGATACACCGATACATACCGATATTTTCTGCTAAGATCAAGAAGATACGGTTTACGATACAGGCATTAAAATATCGGTACGAAACAATACACGAACGACCTATCAAAAAAATGAAAATGAAAGTAGTTTCCAGGGAAAATGGCGGCTTGTACAAAGCGAAGAGATGATATTGATATTGACAACATGCTTTAAAAATAACAAGTCGTAGATAAGGGGTAAAACATTTTCACTTTTAAGCATCCTCGGAAGATGGGACAAGAAAAGTTCCGTATGTAAAGCCGCTTAAAGAGTGATATACAGAAAATATCGTTTCCACAACAGTTGATATTATTAATTGTTAGTCATCTGGCACTAACAGCTCATAACAAAGCACGGATTCTCTAATTTCAAGAACTTGAAATTTTGAAACAAATTGTGGATTTTTTTCTGTAAACTTAACTTGGTTACAGACTTTCAGCAATTAAAAATAATGTACATGTGATGTTTTTTAAATGAATTTTTAGTCAGTGTTCTTGATGAACTACACAACTATTTGTAAACAACTTGTTTATAGACATTTGGCACAAGTAATACTGTTTTTGTAAATATTTAGTCAATGAAATTGATGAACTTCAAGTATTAATTTCAATTCAGATATGATTTGATATAGAATAATTTGATTTATTGTCAAGAAAAAAAATGAAAATAAATACCAATTTTTTAAATAGTTTTATAATTTATCATACCGAGATACGTATCGTATCGTGTTATATATATCGAGATACGTATCGTATCGCAAGATCTGTGTATCGTCCCACCCCTATCAAACACACATTTTATCAATACATAGTCATACCTGTGTTGACAACATGTTTCAGAGCATCAACATAATTGTTCCATCTGTAATAATACATTTCCCATTGTGACTTCATGATCAGCGAGTTATCTTCCAACTTTTTTGTTGCCCAAAATGTATCCAGACTGTTGAACATTATACGGTTTGGGGCACAGGCATTGATATCTCTCATATCAAAATGACCCCATAATTTCGAAGAAATGTAAATGTTGTCATAGTTAATGTCTTCAATATACTTCAAATCAAACTCCTCCGCTATTTTCTTGGCCAAAGCTTTCTTTCCTGTCCCAATATTTCCATCAACAATAATAACGATAGAGTTTTCATTCATACGGGGAATATTACTTTCAAAAGGCTGCCAGTAGCAGTTAAATCTGTGTTTGAAGGGCTTTTCTCGAGGAGGCAACGGAAACGGGTCGTTCTTTGACCTCAAGTTTGCAACCTGAGTGCAACCTGGCAGTACTGCAGCAAGAAGCGGTGCTTTAAGAAGACCTTTAGCACAACTACTACCTGATGTTAGTAACCGTGAACCCAAACTCGCCATAATTATGGCAGAGTTTACTTTTTCTTCTTCAGCTCTGTCTCACCTTGAATACCGGAAGTTGACATGAATTAGGTATACCGTGCCCGATGCCGGTTTGTAACGTATTTGCTATATAATCTATCTTTTATTTGATTAGATCCTATTTAATAATGACCAGGGACCTATGATTTAGTATACATGCCCCAGTTGTGTCAGAAAAACCAACATCTACTATCGTCTTTTGTAATAGGTCATGTTAATTGTTAATTTATGCATTTATTAATACTCTGTATATACATGTTACAAATGCCCTAAGGGACCCCAAATTGGTTTCAATAAATCTTATCATGTTATTTATATACAAAATGCCGACTTTAAATAAAATTTAATTACTTACTACAGGCGTGGATCCAAGATTTTCAAAGGGGGGGGGGTCTATTAGATGGCGAGGGGTCTGCAATGTAGCAATAAGGGAACCATTCTTTGATGCCTTTTTTACTTCGATATATGACATGCAGTGAAAACTTCATCTGGATGAAAAATAAACTCTTAAAAACATTAAATGCCTGTCTTTATATGCCTTTAAATTTCTTCGGAAAAAAGATTCCCATGTTAATTTAAATATGTTTATAAGCTGCCTATTTTCTAGTATAATTCTCGATTTCCATTGAAATGTAAGCAGTGTTGTTCAAAATTTTGTTTAATCACATATATAACTCAAGTTACTGTACTGTACATATATACAGTACTAAGATGACTACCATCTAAAAAAAAAAAACAAACAAACAAACAAACAACTCGCCCCACCCCCCTTATTTTTGAGACTAGAGTGACATAATCAGAACTCATGACTGTATATATACATATCTGTGTTACTAAATAACTTAAACATTTTTTTTGGGGGGGGGGGGGGTCTGAAACCCGCGCCTGTACTACAGCATTTGTAAAGGATTTGATAAATAGAAAAAGGATATTTTAACATCATTAAATTATGTGAAATTGTACAAAATAGATATATGTATATTTTGTAATGAGTATGTATAATCTGAAAATTACACGTTTTTCTCATTGTTAATTATGAACACAGGTCTGCAATTCATTACCCTGGTTAGGAGTATGTGTCAATGCAACACAAGTATTGCGTTATATGCGATGTTTTGTTTTATTTAAGCTATTCTGAGATATCCTCAGGTACTAAAAGATTGAAATTAATATTTTAGGGGGTTGGGGGAAATTGTTGTGCATTGCATTGGGTCATAAATCAGATAAAGTGCACACAAAAAATGTTTACACATATCAACAGTCAGTCGTCAGAATGTGTTAGGAGCAAAAAAAAAAATCAGGCGTAGGAAAGCCTTCCGTGATCCTACCCCGCACCCTCTTTCCAGCACTCTGGCGATGGCCTCCTGTAAACCACTAACAATATAGGAACTTGTTTCTGTAATAAAAATTAAACACCCCCCCCCAATAGGACATTGGGGGGGGGGGGTTAACTTCTTATTATAGAAACAAGTGGCTATGATTAAAAGCATGCAGGGTACCTATACAGAAATAAAATAGCTATTTTAGAAATAATTTAATTAACGCTTTCCTATACATGATATGTTATTGAGTCAAACGGTAACCCAAATGCCGCAATCCATAATCTCTTACATAAACGTCCTGAAAATGTGTTTTACATACGGAGGTAAACAAGAAAACTCTGTTTTGCTTTTTCCTCCCACAAACTTACGAATGGATTCAAATTATTTCAGCTAGAAATTCCAATTTGCACATTTTTGAAATTTAGTTTACGTTTTTTGATTAATTGGCTTTGATTTCGAGCAATCTTACTTGGAAAGTCTATAGAAAATGCAATTGAATTATTTATATAATAAAATGAGGATGAAAAAGGGGGGGGGGGGGGGGCACTGGGGACCATATGCTGGGGCTCGAAGAACGCGTCTGCATTATTTCTGGTAAAACCGGCAGAATGAGTACATGTATACATATACTCGTGGACGCACAAATAATTATCCCAATGAATTTGGTTTATTTGCCGTCTATAAATAAAATTTGTTACATTTTCAACATTGAAATACTGTGATTTATTTATTGAATAAAAGTGATATTCTCTCACAGTGTGAAAGGATACCAAAGTGATATTCTCTTACATTGTAAAAGGATATCAAAGTACTGTAAGTAAAAAAATAATAATTTCTGGCCAGTAATAAGATAGAGATAGTAACAAAATCATCTTGACAGAGACTAAAACCGCCAATTTCTTCCCAAATATATGTTGCTAAAATTCATATTAAATCCTGCTAAACTGTGACATCATTTTTGAAGCCTAAAAAAGACAGAGGCAAAGGGAAAATCAAAGAAAATGAAATAAACAGAAAATTCAATGTTTTGTAGTTGGATATGGAATTTATTTCACTCGTGAAAATATCAAAAAACCTTATCCCACCCGTGAAATAAATGCCACATCCAACTATAAAACATCGAATATCCTCTATTTACTTGACTTGGTATGCGTTAGTACGTAAGTGGAGTAGGCCGTGACGTCATAGCTAGGTAGCGTGGAGATGCAGAGGACTATGGGTAGTACGAAACATCATGAAATTGTGACGTCATAAAGAGTATGATGTCACAATGTCTTAAACTAAACTTCAGAAGATAATAAAACATATAATTATAGCTTTTTCATTCTGTACAATCGTTAGATACTAGGTCGTCATGCTTTCCCTATAGAAGGTATCACTATATATATATATATGTAATGGGAAATCCCGGCATGAATTTGTTGAAATAAGTTGAAGAACATTTAGTCTTTTAAAAATTATCTATTCATCATACCACAACATAACTGGCTCTGAAATTAATATAAAACATACAATAACATTAGAATAGTACAATAAAATATAATAGTAGATATACAAAGAATCATTATACAAATAGTGTTCTAAATAAATATTTCACTCTATGGAATTTAATTCGAATTTATTACGCTCTACATGTGTAAAGGGAAATAACTCTTACAAGCTTAATCTTTAAAATCACTTTCCACAATCGTGAAGAGTTATCTTTCTTATATAATAAAATAACAAAATAGCAATGCATACCGGTTTATGGAACCAAGTCCATCTGACAAACTGTATGGATCTTTACATCAAATATGATGATACACTATATTAATAATAATAAATTCCTAAAGATATGCTCTTTACTATAACTCAGTATTTACAAAGAAACTCTAAAATATTTCTTATGAAAATATTTATCCATATACATTTATTAGGATCTTAATATATTAAACTTAATAGAAATATCAGATTTATCCATATCTGATTTAATCATAGGTATAAAATATTCTATACACATAATTTTTACCAAGTAACAATTTCTTAGTTTCTCATCTATATCTTATTCTAATTAATTAGATTAAAAGGTTAAAATATTAGTACTTACATTTCTGTCTCTGTCCAGGAATTTAATGTCAGGAAATATAATAGTTACAATAAATTCAGTAATTCACCAGAAAACTTCTGTGTGTCTACATGACTATGAAATTTAAATCTGAGTAATATTCACACTGGACAATGTAAAACTTTCTGACCAATGGAATGCAAGTGTACAACCAATGAATGAGTGTAGGTATGAAATGTGTAGGTGGATCTAAAGGGATGGGTGGTATAACTTAAATACTTTATTAGTAATAGAAAGACTTTAGATTTTATTTATTTATTTAACTATTTTAAATTTATTATATTTATTAAATTATTTATTAAAATATACATCTACTACATATATATATATATATATATATATATATATATATATATATATATATATATATATATATATATATATATATATATATATATATAGGGACTGAACTCATCGAAAGACTATACATGTAGTTGAAGATTCCTAAAACAAATGTTAAAATTTTCCTTTTATTAAATCAGCTATTTTCTGCGAAATACTTTTTACACTTAAAAAAAAAACAAAAAAAAAACACTCATTCGACTTCTTTTTTTTTTTTTTTTTTTTTTTTTTTTTACAATCGACTCTTAAGGACCTTTTATAAATTTTTGGAACTGAGAAAATTGTATAAAATTGTATAATATTTGCTTTTTAACATATAGGGGACAGCCATATTTTGCCCGTAGAAAAGATTCAAAGACAACTATGTACTTACTTATAAAGGAGGAATACATACAAATAATTAAAATGTTTATAATTATAACTAATTATATTGACCTAATAAACCGTTAAGAATGCCTTAACTGATTACAAATGGAGTAAATAGCGAACACACTGTAGATTTTAATATATATATATATAGGTAACTGCACAGAACACTTAAGTGTACAGCGCACATGTAAAAATATAATTGTACCTATTTATATGTACACGGGCACTGGAAGTAAATACAAATATAGAGTACGTACATGCATGAACATATATGCATATGCTCTATATTTACATTAACTTCCAGCTAGTGCCTGTGTTTGTCTATGGCAAATGCATGTCATATTAGATGCAATTAAAACATACATGACGTATGACGGAGTAAATTTTAAAAAAAATTATGAACACGTGTTCGTGTTACTCTTTCGACATAACTATACGTATATTAATACAATACGCGCGCTTTGAAAAGAAAACTTTGCACAAAACAGGACAGCTAGTTTTTATAATTAAGTTAACCTACATTTATTAGAAAATTAGAGAATAAGGTTTTATATATAAAAAAAATTGTTATATCCTTTCAGAAAGATTTTCATTAACCGAATTACACGAGCTATTCATTATTTTATGACTAATCCGACATTGCATCATACAGCCTACGATTTTATCGAAGTCACCAAGCAACAATAATATATTGTATTAATGTCTATAAATTTCCCCGTATGGAACCTCTTGTAGTGTTTTCACAACAGTAGCAGCAACTCTATCGATCGCCTGCGATATATATATATTTAGTATAATTTATCCACTGTTCTGTACGTCACTAAGAATTCAGACGTAAAGATGCGCTATATTTTTAGACAGGCGCCATGTTGGATAGGGAACAGAAAGTCCGAATGAGAGATTTTATCCATTGAAAGACATTTATAATACGCCAATAGAGTTGCAGTACCATAACTGTATGTGATAATTAATGGCGGGGAGTCCTTATCGAACTGCCACTTGTTAACACCTAGGTTATTGATCTGAAATGATGTTATACTTAGACATTACTTGGATAACAACGACAGATTTGTAAAAAAGACAAAGTGGTTCCAGTAGGCAAACTGAGTGCCAAAAAGAGAGCTAGATTGGCAGGTGCTCGCTACAGATGACAGTAACAATCTCTCAAAATGTTACTTAGAACGCAGATGGTGGGTATCGAATTTTACGATGCCGTTCTCAACAACGAATTACAGTTACTGAAGAGAATTGTGACTCAACACAAAATAGATCTAAATGCCAAATTTGTGGAGGTAAGAAAGAAAAACCACGCTGATCTGTGTCCGATTCATTTAGCGGCGTATAGAGGGTACACCTACATGCTACAATACCTAATCGAGTCAAAGTGTGACGTCAACAAAACGACAGCAACGTTACGTAGAACGGCGTTGCACTTCGCAGTGTTGCGCCACAAGTTGGCGTGTATGCTGTTGCTCATTCGAGCGGGTGCTAAAATAGACGCTAAAGACACGTTTAGCAACTCTCCTTGTCATTACGCTGCCGATGATGGCTATTGTCAAATTTTAGACCGTCTGATTCGACGCGGAGTGAATGTAAATACTCAGGATATAACGTCAAAAACCCCCTTAATGAAAGCCGTGAGAAACAATAAAACCGATGCAGTCATCAGACTCATAAGAGCAAACTGCAATATGAATATAACAGACAGGAATTACGACATGGCTCTGCATTATGCCTCCAGGAATGGGTGTGCTGACGTCATTGATATTCTTATTTCGGCGGGAAGTTTGATTGACGTTCAAAATTACTGGGGGCGCACGCCTTTAATGGAGGCAGTGTGCTACAACCACAAGGAAGCCGTGGCCAGGCTTTTAAAAGCTCACTGTGATTTAAATCGACGAGAATTCAAAACAGGAGACACGGCTTTGCACATTGCGATAAAGCGGAACTATACAGAAGTAGTCGAACTACTTCTTAGAGCCGGAAGTCGGCACGATATTTACAATCACCAGAGTGAAACAGCCGCGTATGATGCGGTTGTCAGCAACAAAATCGAGATTATCAGACTTATGGTTGTTCATAACTGCGACCTAGAGCAGCCTGGGAAATATTTTACGAACGGTGTTTACAAATCGCTTTTTCAAATTGCTTCAGAGAGGGGCCATTTCACAATCTGCAGACTTTTGGCAGTTCACGGTTATGTGGATTATAGAGCCCGGATGTATTTTCACCCAAGCTATATCCCTCCGCGGTTAGTGCCAGAGGCAGAATTTGTTGTGAACTGGCTGAGGAAGAAGATGCAGACGACTACCTCTCTTCAGCAGCTTTGTCGGAAGTGCATTCGGAAAAGAATCGGGTACAAAATAGCGGAGAGCGTCGAGGCCTTGCCAATGCCACGCGCTTTAAAAGATTACGTATTGATAAAAGATTTTAACGAAAGCGACCAAATGAACTTTAAATAATCTGATTTATCTTTTATTTTGAATGTTAAGACTCAATGCGATACTCTTTATGCCATTTCTGATATCAATGCAAAGTTTCATTGTTAATGGATTAAACCACATCTTCATTTATCGTTAACAGTTTTGTGCATATATTAATAATAAACCAAAAAAAAAAAAAGAATATGTTTTATAATAAAGAATCTAATGTCATTGTTTCAGCCGACTCGAACATTGTTTTTTGATTGAATTATACGTTTATTTTTCTTTTAATTTGGCAACAACTTTTGACCATGTCCCCAAAACATTCAAGGTTTCACGTAGCAGTCTTGGATCCAAAATATAAAAATTAAAGTACTGAAAAACAAGAGGCCCGCAGGAAATTACGGTCACCTGAGTATATCATGAGTTTCTCAACATAGGAACAACATGTCCCACATGGGATACGAGTGGAGAACAAACAGCACGATTTTTTCCACAATTTTTAGCTCACCTGAGCTGAAAGCACGTGAGCTTTTCTGATCACCAGTTTTCCGACGTCCGTCCGTCTGTAAGCTTTTCACATTCTCAACTTCTTCTCGAGTACCACAGGGCCAATTTTTAGCCAATGTTAGTACAAAGCATCCCTGGGTAAAGGGGATTCAAAATTGTTAAGATGAAGGGCTAAACCCACTTCCAAGGAGAGATAATCACAAAAAGGCTAAAATACGGTTCGGTCATTAAAAAATCTTCATTTCAAGAACCACTGGACCAGAAAAGCTGAAACTTATTTGGAAGCTTCCTGAGATAGTGTAGATTCTAAATTGTTCAAAACATGACATCCCCCACGGGATGGGGGTGGTAGTTAGGGTTGGGCTACAATAGGGAATCACAATTTTACATTGAAATATACATGTATAGGGACAGTCTATAAAAATCGTCTTCTCAAGAACCACTGGGGCAGAGAAGCTAAAACATATGTGGAAGCTTCTGAAGGTAAGGAAGATTCTTAATTATTTAAATCATGGCCCCCGGGGTAGGGTTTGGCCACAATAGGCGATCAAATTTTTCATTTAAATATATAGAAAAAGTCTTTAAATATCTTCTTCTCAAGAACCACAGGACAAGAAAAGCTGAACTTTATTTGAAAGTTATAGATTGTAAATTGTTCAAATTATGTTCCCCGAGAGAAGGGTGGGGCTACAATATAAGTTTTACATTGAAATGGTCTTTAAAAATGTTCTTCTCAAAAACCACTGGGCCAGAATAGCTGATAGTTATGTGGAAGCTTAATTTCTGAGGAAGTGTAGATTCTTAAATGTTCGAATCATGTCCTCTAGGGGAAGGATAGAGCTATATACAATAGAGGGTCAAAGTTTTACATTGAAATATATATAGGAAAACATCTTCTCAAAAACCAATAAGCCAAAAAATCTGAAAGTTATGCGAAAGCTTTCAAAGGTAGTGTAGATTTTAAATTGTTCAGATTATGACTCCCGTGGATAGACTCGGGGCCACAATGGGGATCAAAGTTTTACATGGAAATATATAGGAATAATCTTTAAAAAGCTTCCTCACAAGAACCATGGTCCAGAAAAGTTGAAATTTATGTGAAAGCTTCCTGATTTAGTTTAGATTGTACATTGTTCAAAACATGTCCCCTGGGGGAAGGCTGGGGCCACAATAGGAGATCAAAGTTTTAAATTGAAATATATAGGAAAAACCTTCTCAAGAACCACTGTACCAGAAAAGATGATATTCTGGTGAAAGCTTCCTGTAGTGTAGATTGTAAATTTTTCAGATCATGGTCCCCGAAGGTCAGGTGGGTCCACAATAAGGAATCAAGTTTTTATATATTGAAATATATAGGAATCTCTTAATTTTATTTTTTACAAGAACTACTGGACCAGAAAAGATGAAAATCAAGTGAAAGCTTACTGAGGTAGTGTATATTGTACATTGTTCAGATCATGATCCCCGGGGGTAGGGTGGGGCCACAATCAATAGGGATTATTTAGGGAAAAGTCTTACAAAATACTCGAGAACAGCAAAGTCATGATGATCGAATCATGCTACTGTGGAAGCTTTATCTCATGTGTAGATTCATTTTTGTTAAAATCAAGGCCCCTAGTTGTACATAGGGTTGGGCCACAAAAGGCGATCAAACATACAGAGGAATTAATACATGTATAATGGGGGAAAATCTTATGCAGAGCAGGACCAAAGAGACTCAGGTGAGCGTTGTGGTCCATTGGCCTCTTGTTGTTGTTGTTTTATATATATATATATATATATATATATATATATATATATATATATATATATATATATATATATATATATATATATATATATATATATATATATATATATATAATTTCAAAGCATAAAGTTTGATTGCAAGATGCTCAGAAGACTTGAAAGATATATACATGTATAATGCATTAATTATTTTTCAATATATGTGATCAACGTTCCAACTTTAAACCCAGGAGATATGAATAAAAAAAAATTGCTCATAATGATAATGATAATGGAACAATTTACATGCTACTACATGTATATGCCATTTAGGAGTAAAGAAGGATATAATAAATTAATAAATATCGAGACGCGATTATACCGGGTATTAGCCCTACCCTGAATTTAAGGAACATGGACCTTTTTGGTAGATGTTAAGCTGCTTATTATACTTATGTAAACAGCTTGCTTGATTTCCAGGAGGAACTTGTAATTTCACAAAGTAGTAAAAATATATGTATCACCTCACACTCTGTCATACCCTCAACCCCCCCCCCCCTTTCACATCCATCCACCCAACCCCATCCATTTAATAGAGAAAAACAGAAAAAGAGAAAGCTTGAAATGTGTAGGTATAATTTACATGTCTTTACAATACCGTTTTAATGTGATATCTTCATAAACATAAAAGAAATTAGTATTGGTACATGTATGTGTGTCACCGTATGAAGGGTATTAGGTGGACATTCATAACCCTCCAAATAATCATCAAAAACTCATTGTAGCTCCTTAATTGTTAGAATCTATGATTTAGTACTGGAGACTAATTAATATAAGGTTGAAACAGAAGAGACCGTAGGGAATGCAATTTATAACCGCTTAACCGGTTACTCGGTCGGAACGATGGTAATCGGTTAGAAAATCGGGGGAAAAAATAAAATATGAGTAAATTTCCTTAAATTTCAATTTACCATGTTAAAAAACAAAACAAAACAAAACAAAAAACTCTGAATATCGATTCACACATTTATTTCAGCTGATTTGGAGGTAATCCTATCAGGGACATATATACATATATGTCCCTGATTATATAAGGCTCTCTGGATTGAGTTCGTTGGGGGTGATTTGGGTTAATTTCTGAAGTATTCACATTTTTGTTTAAACACCATGTCCTTTCCCAACCTTTCCTGTTTTGATGAAATCGCCGTTGAATACTGTTACAAGTTTCAAGTTTCTTTATTTCTTTCAAGTTTCATGTTTCTTTATTTCCCTCAAGTTTTAAGTTTGTTTCCTTCAATTGCAAGTTTCTTTATTTTCTTAAGCCAATTAGCTCATCAGAGTAATAGGTACAATTTAGTACATGCTATCAAGAAAAAAACTGTAGTTTTGTACTGTGAACTGATTACATGTACTATGTGCATTTTACCCTGTCTATTCTTTACAGTTATCTGTCAAATTATATTTTTAACAAACATCGTATATTAAGTGATAGTTGGGACCCAGTCTCTCTTAAAGGTGCCAATTGAAAGCAGAATGACCTTGTGTAGCCTGGTCCGATAATTTATCAATGTCTTTGATATCTCAGGGATGTTTCGCTGTTTTCTTTAATTTTCTGTTGCCTTTTGAAATTGATATTAAATATATAAACTGTACTGATCAACTAAAACAGGATATTACTAACGTCTTTTTTTCAATATAGTTTTCTTATGTATATAAAGCGTTTACTTGGAAAAAAAAAGTCAGGAAAATATGTATTTTGATACGATTAACCGGTTAATCGGTCGGAACGCCTTGCGATTAATCGGTGATACCATGAAATATTGATTGATTGAATATTGTTTTACGTACCATTAGAGAATTTTTCACTCATCACAGTCACCATATATACGAGTGAAGGGCTTCAAATTTAGACCTTTACTCGACACTCAGGGCCATTGATTAGTGAGGGTTCTTTAGCACGTCAACGCCCACCGTGATGCGAGACCTCAGAGTTTTTTAAGGTCTCATCTGAAAGACCCGTTTCACTTCTATTGCCGTGCGCTTGGCGAATAACACTCACTACTTAAGTTAACGTCTTAGGTTTGATACAGCACGGCGAACGAGAATCGAGCCCGATCCTCCCGATCACAAAGCGAACGCCCTACCACTAGGCTACCCTGACCGGTTTTTAGAGTTATTTTATACTAAATTTCAATGCACTGCAACTGTGACCTTAAGTGCAGTGTAATTAAAAAAATTAAGTGTACTGAAATTCACTATAATGTGATGATTGATTGTAGGATGTTTACCGTTCCATTCGAAATTCTTCACTCATGTAGAGAAGTGAAATTGTATATACAATATATAAGTGTAATATGGTTACATGTTCAGCCTCTAAAAAACAGCTTGTCTATTATTGTACAATATACATGTATTACAATGGAAGTCAAAAATTAATCTTCATGTGCAAATAAAATACCAGTCATCCAGGTGACAATTTACTTTACAAACAATTAATTTAAATGAAGAGATAAAAAAAAAATAGTACGTATAACTTTTCAACAAGAATAGGGCATAAATTAAAAATAAATGGAATTAAAATCCTGTAGAATGTATGGATACGGATAAATTACACATGCAGCATTAAATTCTGTCCTATTTTTTAAATTGGTCTAAACAGACAAAAACAAAATTATTCAATTATCAATCTCTACAAGAAAACGTGGGAGATCATTTAAATCATTTAACACTTACTTAAAATCTACAAATGATTTCTTATACTCTACACGTGCGTGACTAATCATTTAAAACATCAACCCATGTAAAGGTTTCATATAATTATGTTATAAGCGCTTTGTATCCTATAATAAAGACTTAAGAAATATAGTCACGTGTAGGTGTTTTTTTTTTTTAAGTTTAAGATATTTATATAAGTAGTCAAG